TTAAACTAATCAGATTGTCAGGATCGCGATTCACTTCTCGATCAATTATATCGTAACCTTAAGTGAATCTCATTTTCTACAATCTACATCAGATAAACCTTGTATACAATAAGATTATAGTATCGATAAGCTGACAATTATAAATAATATAATCACAAAGTATATAAATAATCTTAGAATAAATAATATATAAGAATATATAAAATAATATTGAAATGAAAAAACTTATTTTTGATTCTATTAATTAAAAGCTTTATATATATATGAAATCTAATAAATTATTTAATCAACGATTATTTTGATAAAGAAATAAATTAGATAAATAAAGTTTTGTAAAGAATAATAAAATCAGTATAATTATATAATATTAATTAAATATAAAAAAAAATATAGATAAATAAAGATTATAATATTAAAGATTATATGATGAAATTATATAAAAGTATATGATTTCTATAATGTATTTTTTAAATCGAGATTCGATATAAATCTTTTAATGATATATATATTGATCAAACGAATAATATATTTTTAATAGGTTTTTATTTATTAATAACAAATATATTTTTGTTTTTGATTGATAAATAATTATTTGAAAATAAAGTTTTTAATAACGAAATCTGAAGTTGAACAAATAATCTTCGATTTTATAAAATTATATATTTATCTTTATTGTAATTGATTTGAGAAATTAGCTGATTAATTGAATTGATGTATAAATGATTGAATAATATTTTCTTGAAAAGCTTAATCGAAAGTTTTATTATATTTGAATAGATATAATTTTTGTTTATATTAAAGTTATTATAACTTTATAATTTTAAAAAAAAGATATACAAAGATATTCAAAATTATAATTTTTGATAAAAGAAAAGTATATTATTATTATTAAATTATAATTATTGACTTGTCGACTTTATAATCTTGTTGTATATGAGGTTTATTTGATATAGATTATAGACAATAAAGTTCGTTTAAAATTACAATATAATTGATCGAGAAATGAATCGCGATCCTGACAATCTGATTGGTCTAAAATACTTCGGTAAAAAATCTAACAAAAAGCTTAATATAAGTTTTGATTTAGAGCTTTTTTCAATTCAACTCAATTGAAATCATTCAATTCATTCAATTTAACTCTATTCATTTAACTCTGAAATCATTCAACTTATTCAATTCAACTCTATTCATTCAATTCAACTTTATTTATTCAATTCAAAATAATAATAATAATAATAATAATAATAATAATAATAATAATAGTAGTAGTATTATAAATAATAATATTAAATCATATTATAATTATGATTTTTAAATAAAATAATTTAATTTTCAATTATTAAAAACAAGTCGATATTCTACCTGTACCCTGATATATATTTAATATTTGATTTATTATAAACTTTTTAAATCTTAAATTTTTATTAAACTATCTCGAAAAGCCAGGGGTCCGGGGGGCGCAGGCCCCTGGTATATTGATTATAATTTAAATATATTGATTAGAATTTAATTAGAATTTCAAGGATAAAAAAGAAAGATATAATAATTCTTTTTTTCTTTCTTGATTTTATTTTATTTTATTTATTATTCAATTTATATTTCTATTCTAAATGATATTAAAGATTTATGTTAGAAAAGACAAAGGGAAAAAAAAAAAAAAAAGATTAAAAAAATAGAAAATAAAGATATTGAAAAGAAGAAGAAATGATTAAAAAAGAAAAAGAAAATAAAGAAGATGATTGTTTCAACTTTGATAATTTGTAATAATACAGATCTTAATAATCAAAAAATGAATTATAATTATGATTTTATTTGAATAATATTTTTTTTGGATAATTATTATTTAAATAATCTTTATCGATCCTAAAGAAAAACATAATAATAAAAAATAAATAAATTATTCAAAAAAAGAACAAAGAGAAGAAAAAGAATATTTTCTCCAAATTGAAGATTAAAGTTTCGGAATACTTTAATTCTAAATCTTTATTTGAAATGGAATTAGATATTATTATAAAAAGTTCTAATACCAGGGGCCTTATTACGATTCATAGTTTAGATTATTGTAGTATTATTGATGTCGGTGATTTAGATGTCGATTATAGGAGGGGTGTGATTTAATTGTTGCTTTCAAGGGGCCTAATCATTTATAAATAGACCCCAGGATTCTTAGGATAAGTGTTCTAGATAATTATATTAGAATAAAATAAGTATTCTAATTAATCAATTATAATAGAACAATCATTTTAGAGGATATCGTACCTTAGAGCTGGGGTTCCTAGAGGAAAGTTCCTGAAACAAATGTTTCAGGAAAGGAAAGGTTTCAGGATCAATCATATAATAAGAAGTTTTAAAAACTTAAAAAGCTTCTAGAGCTCTAAGAGTTTTTTGAAGTTCTTAAATTCTACAAAGCTCTTTTTCATTCATTAGTATATAATCAGAATAGTTTTATAGTTTAAAAGCTTTGTATTCAATTTAATTATCAATTAGTTTATTTATATTCCAATTAATCTAGTAATGAATTCATTTTCAAATGGATAATTAATGATTGATAGCCTTAACCTACAACTATCAATCATAAGAAACCTCAGGCAGCCGCTGCCTCAACCAGATCGTTACAGGCCTGCGCCCCCCGGACCCCTGGCTTTTCGAGAAAGTCTAGTAAAAATTTAAGTTTTAAAAAGTTTATAATAAATTTAAATATTAAATATATATATTAGAGTGCAGATAGAATATCGACTTGTTTTTGATAATTGAAAATTGATTATTATTATTATTTTTATTATTTTTATTATTATTATTATTATTATGAATTAAATAAGATGAATTAAATGAATAAAGTTGAATTGAATAAATTGAATGATTTCAGTAGAGTTGAATGATTTCAATTGAATTAAGTTGAAAAAATCTTTAAATCAGATTTGTTTAAAATTGTAAGATTTATATCAAGTTTTTTGTTAGATTATTTATCGGGGTATTTATTAGGGTATTTACTGGGGTATTTTAGATCAATCAGATTATCAGGATCGTGATTTATTTAAACAAGTTTTTTATTTTCTATTATCTATCAAGTAAACCTTATATATAACAAGGTTATAATATCAACAAGTCGACAATAAGTCAACAATAATTAATCTTTTTATTTTTAAAATTTAATTCATTTAATTCAAAATAAACTCTTAATAAATTAAATGTTAGTATTATTTATTGTCGGTACATCGTGTACAAAGGGAGCCGTACAACTAGTGTGTTCTAGGCCGTACCCCTTCAATATAAATAGATCCCTCTCCTCTAGATAGATAATAATCATCCATGAATAAAATACAACAAGAATACCATTGCACTACAATAAGTATCACCGAAGTAATACCAACATTTATATTATTTATATCAATAAGAAATAAGTATAGTTTTATCTTTTAGTCTATCAGATCCCTGTATGCCTCGTCGGAGTATGGATTGATAAACTGTGAGTGCTGCTGTCCCACCGGCAGCAGCTTTATAATGCGACAGAGATGCGGGTTTTTAAGCGACGACTGTAGAAGTTGGACGACAGTATTGCGCTTGAGGAAAAATTCCAAACGAAAAGGGAAAATCGCTTACCTATGGTTTTACGATGAGGCTCAGGCACGCGGGATTAGACTGTGCCGCCAGGTTTTATGTGTTACGGAAAAACGGTCGATAAGACGGCACCTCATACGTCGTAGTCCATCAACTAAGGAAACCTGCAGGATTTCGGCGTGGGTTGGTGATGACGGTATGGGAAATTCGCAAGGCTTAGGGGGAATATATTCATGACTGTAGTGATCATATCCGTTTCCCTGAGCATCATGGCTGTGAGTGTTCCGGAAGAACGCGGCGAACCTAGGTCGTTTTCTAGATCTAGATGGTGGGGCGAGCTCATGTACAGGTGAGTATGTTAAACAGACTTGGAACTACAATCACTTAACAAAGTCTCAAACTCATATATCCTAACCATAGCACGCATTCGCGCACTCCATTAAAATTATGGCAAGAGGAAGGCACATGCTTCACATCACACGTTATTTTTGCAATACTATTCACGCTCTTAGCAAACATTTCCAGGTTATCTTCTAGTGCTCCCTTATTAGAAAACATACCCACTCCCCATCTTGATATTAATAGGGTTGACACTAGCCGCTTCAATTTTGATCAATATGCCATTTTTATACGTGATTCTCGGGGTCGGAATGGTGGCTGTGTTGAATGTGTCTGGTTTTTCGAATCTAGAGAGAAGAGCCAGCGCAATCATTGTTGGCGGAACCTCAGTGGCGATCTGGGGCTCCATCTCTAAAGGAGCGATGAGATTATGGAGAACTAAGGGAATAAATGTGAATAGAGACCGAAAAATAAGTAGGAAACCAGAATTATATAGAACAGGAGCAATGGAAATCGGGTGGAGACTGGAGAGAATCCCGCCCGGTTCGCAGACTTTTGATATGAAGGATGAGCTTTGATTGGATGAGGCAATGAAGAGTGAAAAATGAAGAGAAAGAGCGAAGAGGGAGAGGGAGAGGGAGAGGGATGAGGAGGGAGAAAGAAAGAGAAAAAGGATTCGAAATCAAGATCAAATTGGAAGAAAGATAACTTGATTAGTAATATGTCACTCAAGTTCAATATCAGGAGTTCAAGGCCAATGAAGATGAGTGCAGCATCGTTAACGTTTCCGATGAATGATTCTATATTGTAAATGCGAAAAGGATTATCTTATTATTGATACTACAAATCCTGATTATATACGACCAATAGACGTATGATTATTACATTTGTTATATAGTCCTAACACCGAACAGGACTCACTCTGGATAGTATCAAGTAGGACTAAGATTTGAAAAAGCTCCTTTTTATACAACCATATCAAATAAGGAAACAATAATATTTTAGTTAACTATAATGAAATTTTGGCGAAAAGTTAAATGGAGTCGAGCGGTGCAAGTTGATGTTGTTGCCACGTAGTCACGTGGGACTTGCCTCAAACACAATCTTTTTTGACCCATAACAACGATATCGATTTATTTCTATCATCCAGCACATCTTTTTGTTCTTCAAAAATCGATAACCTTTACACATTTATCGTCTATATGTTGTCTTATGTCCCAAAGAATTGAAGTGGAAAGTTTAATCCCTTCTCTCCAATCCACCACCATTATTGCCTAATCAGGCGACCGAACCACACGTGCTTTTCATCCAACCCCGGAGTTTTGACAACATACAAAATTAAAGTCATCAAAAAATCAATCTAGATTCAAATAATGGCTTCCTACCTCAAGCCCGTAGATATTCCATCCTTCTGCGCAACCCAACTCCATCTCTTAGACCAAGAACTTCAATCTGAGCTGTGCGAAACCTCCACTCTCATAACGGGAACTTCACCTATTTCCCTTCAGCGCGCTGGACTTGCTATTATAAATCTCGTTTTGATATCTCAAAGAACTGGATTGGGAGGAAAGACTGTCGTTGAGCTGGGTCCTGATCCGGCCACTTCTAATTCCGCCTCTGGAGGAAAAGGTAAAGGTGGCGGAGGGTCGGGAGAGGGCGAATTACAAGAACATGGGATACGAGTTGGTGATATCGTGGCAGTTAGTGAACAACCGAGTGGAAGCGCGAAGAAGAGAGAAGTCAAGGAGTTAGAGGAGAATGGAAGTAAAGGTGTGGTGACTAAAGTAGGGAGGAGTGCCGTGTGGGTCGCACTAGATGAGAATGGGAAAGGGGAAGAGAATGTTGGGGGGATGAAAAGGTGTTGGGTAGTTAAGTTGGCAAATGATGTTACGTACAAGAGGTTTGTCTACTTCATCTGTGGGATTGATGGTCGATTGAATGAGGAGAGAGCTTGGAGGGGGAACTGACGGGTGTTTAGGATGAATGGTACCATGGGAAAGTTAGGAAAGATGCAAGAAGCGGAATACTCGAATTTTGTAAGGGTTTTATTTGGCTGGTCGTCGCCTACGCCCGTACCAGAGAATCTGACGGGCGAAGAAATAGAGTGGGTGGATTTGAGTCTGAACGATAGTCAAAAGCATGCTATTAAATTTACGTTGGCTTCGAAAGAGATGGCTTTAATTCACGGGCCACCTGGAGTGAGTAGTCTCAATTTCCTTTTACCATCGCGGCCTCTTGGGGCAGATTTTTTTTAATCAAATCAGCCCTAAATGCATCCGAATTGATGGATGATGGTTCTGGGCATAGCGAAGTTTTTTTCAAGTCACAGTAGGAAGTAATGATTCTATGCCATCGAGGATACTGAAAAGACGGGATGGAAATGGAGGAATAATTCCTCATGTAGTCACTGATATTCAATAGACTGGAAAAACCCATACCTTGATTGAGCTTATTTTGCAGATGCTCAAACAAGGCCTCAGAGTATTAGTTTGTGGGCCGTCCAATATATCCGTGGATAACATTGTCGAGAGGCTTGCACCACATAAGGTACCTATTCTACGTTTGGGTCACCCGGCCAGACTTTTACCATCAGTTGTCAATCACTCTCTTGATGTCCTTACACAGACTTCAGAAGCAGCTGCAATTGTTCAAGATGTGCGGAAGGAAATGGATACTAAACAAGCCTCAATAAAAAAGACCAAGAGTGGTAGAGAGCGAAAAGCAATATATGGCGATCTCAAGGAACTACGCAAGGAGTTTCGAGAACGGGAAAGAAAATGTGTAAATACCTTGGTAAGAGGTTCAAAAGTTGTGCTTGCAACTCTACATGGTGCTGGAGGCTACCAATTGAGGGACGAGAATTTTGATGTTGTGATAATTGATGAAGCTAGGTAAGGGCATAATTTTATTACATTTGCGTTCAACCCTAAGCTTCTATTTTCGTCTCTTCTCAGGGCACGCTTCCTCCATCTCCTTTAAAATCTTGGTTGGTAATTGCTAACTCCTAGCTTCGTAGCCAGGCTTTGGAAGCTCAATGTTGGGTGCCTCTGCTGTCAGCTAGCAAAGTTGTTCTTGCAGGAGATCACCTTCAATTACCACCAACAATCAAATCACTAAATTCAAAGACAAAGACGAAACCGCAAAGCACAGAGACAGAGAGCATCATGAACGGAATGACTTTGGAGACAACTTTGTTCGACAGATTACTGAAATTACATGGAACTGGAATCAAGGTTATGCTTACTACACAATACCGGATGCATGACAAGATTATGAGGTTTCCTTCGGACGAATTATACGAATCAAAACTTGTTGCAGCTGAGGGAGTTAAAGCAAGACTTCTCACGGAACTGTCTTACGATGTGGAGGAAACTGAGGATACTATTGAACCCTTGATCTTTTTCGACACACAAGGTGGTGACTTTCCGGAGAAGAGTGAGGAGGAAGGTGTTGATAAGAAAGCCGGAAAGAGAATGCTGGGTGATAGCAAAAGCAACGAAATGGAAGCGGCTCTCGTGAGACGACATGTCCAAAATCTTGTGGATGCTGGATTGAAGCCAGAGGATATTGCGGTTGTGACGCCATACAATGCTCAGGTAAGAGCGATATCACTTTTGTGCTCAACCTTAGCAGTTTTTCCGAGTAATGCTAACTTAAAAAAGCTCGCTTTAATGTCTCGATCGATGAAGGAGGCATTTCCTGGCATTGAACTGGGCAGTGTTGATGGGTTTCAAGGAAGAGAAAAGGAGGCAATCATTGTTTCCCTCGTCCGGAGTAATAGCGAAAACGAAGTTGGATTTTTAGGAGAGAAACGTAGATTGAACGGTGCGTACCATTTCTTTTTGCATGAACTTCCTCATCTGTTTCTCTACGCCCAGAACCGATGAATCCTTCTTTGCATGAATGCCTCCAAATACCCGCCCCCGCATCCTAGCATGTCACTATCTCCCGCAAACGAAATTAAAAAGTGCTCCTGGGCTATAGCATTTATAATAATCAATTTCACACAATGGGATGCTAGTCATCACATATCCAAATATCCATGCGAGAAAGTATGGAGGGCTTGATCATCCAACTGATACGATTGTAAAATTTTAGTCGCTATGACCCGACCACGACGCTCGTTGACAGTCATTGGCGATTCGGAAACTGTCTCGAGGTGAGTTCAGACCTCTCTCTTTTCTTTTCCTTGAACATGTCTACTTCATCAATAGGCCTGAGATATGCTAACAATTTATGTGTGATCGATACAGAGGTAGTAAGTTCCTCAAACGATGGATGGACTTTTTGGAAGAACATGCCGACTTACGATACCCGTCAATAGCGGAATTAAATTCGTAATAACGATCAATTTGCAAATTCGGTCAAAAATTCCGAAAACCGTTACACCTCTATCACTTTGGTCCCCGCACCAATTTTTTTTAGTTTTATGGTATGGATCATTCTATGGACTCTACTCCTCTGGAAAAACATTATGCAGTCACGCATGCATGGAGGATTCTCTCGGAAGCTATCACTCAACTTCTTCTAGTCTTTGGTGAGGATCCACAAAATGTTCATGAACACCATCTCTATCGTGCCACGCGATTTCTTTTTTTCCCTTTTAAGAAGAGGGTGTGCATCAGATGAATGACGAACTCCATTTTAAGGATCCCTTGTAGTTTCAAATAGAGTATGGCGGTGGCACGGATCCCAGGTGAAGTGGAGCTCTACTATGGAGTGAGTGACCAGAACATTTTAAAGAAATCCAACCCCCCCCTCCAAGAGACTGGTGGACTTGATTGAAATGCTCCAATTTGATCATGACGGTGTTATTAGTCACATTGGTTTCTGCAGCTTCTGCAGCTTCTGCAAATCGAGTACGTTGCATAGAAGATGTGAAGGTGGATGACCTATCGCATCATCAAGTCTCAATGAGGTTGTGGGGACTGGTTGAGAAGTTGAATCTTGATGTTAAAGGCTGGAGCAAAGGCCGAAATTTATTAGACGGATTTATGCCATGAAAAGTTAATCGCGAATGATAGATTGAGTTACCGTTCCCGTTTCTTGCTTGGACAATTCAGGGATGGATACAGATGTATTCAATGACCCCCAGGAAATCTTGATAGACTATTTATATTTTATATTGATCGAGGAGATTTTACTGGTGAAACTATTGCCATGCTTTGACAGTGTTTAATTCGTTTTATGCAGCCGAGACAACCGATCATTTGCATTGAAGGGAAGCATGATATACATTCGGATACTTATACATGACGCATCGAGTAATTGACCTTGGGTTGTACCGATATGCCATGTCCGGCTAGATAATGTAATCTTTTATGATATTGTAGTTTGTTATGGCATTTACTTGTGCTTGTTTACCCTCTGCTATCTGCGCTTAGTTTTTGGATTTAATATAAGCCATGAGATTTTATGATTTGGAAGATGAGATGATACGGGCAGAATCCCTCACCCTGCGACAATGCTATCCTTCCTATTTGATGCCGGATTATGACATGAAAGCGCAGCGGTTGCTGTGAAGACACCCTGGGGATTTGCAGATACAAACATTGAACCAGGGATGTGCATTTTAACCGTTATCATATCAAAGACAGCTAGTAATAATCTGAACAGAAAGAGCATTCATAAAAGAAGATTTTGTCTGTAAGCTAGGATTGTCTTAAATGAAGTTGTTGAGTGTGTATATTGATATTGCCTTGTATCTTTTAATTTTTAATTTTTATGAAATTTTTGTTTAGATGAGTAGACAGACATTCGGAATTTGCTTCCTCGCTTTGGATGAAGGGGACAACCATAAAAAAAGAAGCTGGCTGATTGATATACTTGTATTCAAATAATTGTTAAATCTACACCCACAACACAACCACTTAATCTCCAACACACCCTGCATGAAGGAACTTGCGACCTCCTACGGCCTCCAGACTCCAGAGTGACCACACACACCACACACACCACACACACCACACACACCACACGCACAACACTTATTACGAGATTCAGAATTTGCTCCCCTCTTCAAAGCGCAAATCAAGCATATCTCTCGAATTGCGGCATCATATACAAATAAGGATTACATCCTTCCCACTTACTTGTTTTTGGTTGAAGCCCCCCAAAAAGGAATTTCAGAATGTGCCATAAAGAGCCATACGTCCGAAAATATGTTGTTTCGGTGACCTTTTAGCTCTTTGCAAATTGCGATTCTCCCTTCCTGAAACTCCACTTTTGGACGACACGACTGTGTCTCATTTATTATTGAATTCCAGTGGACGGGAGTCGGGACGGGCGATGTGTGATTGATCAAGCAAGCCTAAAAGTTGAGCTTCGTGAGTTAAACTACTTATTGATTGATTGCATTATTCACACTATTCACACTATTCACACATACAAGCTAACCCTACACACACTATTGTGTAGTTGCATTCTCGAGTAGGTATACAAAACTTCTTTAGTGCTAAACGAATCCACACGGTAGATACTCGTATCGTTACCATCTTTACCCACCCACCTCCATGGAGCCGCTTCAACAGGGTTGGAATGATCGAACCTTACTGTTGTTGGTTTGGCTTTGAACATTTACTTCTATTCTTGATTTGATCTCCCCGTCTTTTCAATTTTCCTTTCTTGTCATTTATCTGGTTTCATGGTCACTCCTTGTCGGTAGCTTACGGGCGTCGCAGAATATATGATACGTGTGATGCGCCCTAGATCGATCAATTTCCCTGGTAAGGGACCCATTCCATTGAACGGTGCGGAGTTGCTCAAGATATATGCTCATACACATATATGGACCGATGGACGTTCGTGAGAATAACATATAATTCGACCAGGGAACTGAGACCTTCCAGTCTTCTCATCGCTTGGGATTTGCGAATATGCCTATGAATCATTCCACGTCTATCAAGCAATCCACTGTCATAACAGCTTTACCCTTATCCTCGACCCACTTATGAATACAGGCAAAACCAGAGGCCCGTTCTAACACTCCGTCCCGGTTCGTCAGTAAGATGAGTAAATTTTCGAAGACCGGGACCTCGAAGTCGGAAACTTCTGGTCGAACAAATACCGGTTCTACCATCCGTGGGAAGATTTCTGCTCCTATTCCCATAAAGGACGACGACGAGTTTCCAATTCGGTCTCCAGGAACTAGTATAGCAACTCCTCTTGGGTCTCTTCGTTCAGATGGAGTCGAGAAAGTCATGAGGGATTCCGCCATATCTGGCCGAGATAGTGCTCTGGCATATGGAGATATTGGAATGGGTGACTATATCGAACCACCCAGGCGGATAGGAACCTCCCCCTTACCATCCGACCGGCCATCTTATAACCCTCCTTCACGCAGGACCCAGGACTATACTGTTCTCCGGAGCTCATCGCCTGTTGGCAGACCGTCAGATTCGGTTCTCTTGAAGCCTGCGCGGAAAAAGTCGACTCTTAAAGGAGTGTTTGGTAAAATATTTGGAAAGAAACGGAAAGATGCGCCAACCCAGAGGCAAGGCGTTGGTGCTCTGCAAAGTGAACAACACCATCGTAGTGTGAGTAGAGCCATGTTGCGTTACGTTACTATTGTCTGATAATTTGTAGGACCCAACTGCGCTCAGCCGAAATCCCATAAACACCCCGACTTCACCCAAACGTTCGACGTCCATGCCGATCAATGAGTTTAATCGAGCCCTTCGATCGCATTCTCCTTTCATAGGTAATAATTTAAAGGAGCAGAATAATACAGAGCGGGACACAAATCGCACATCTACACAGACACAAAGTACAACGACAAGAACAAGGGTCGCAACGGGTAGATTGTATACACCAGATAAAACACCAGGCTTTGGGGATTGGACGGGACTTTCACCGCGCCCTGCTAGCGCCCAGGCGAAAGGCAGTAAAGCTCCCTCTGACGAGGAGTGTTCTGGATTAATTGGAATGGCAATTACAAGTGGTAGCCATCCAAACAGGCGTTCAAGGTCACTCGGGCAATTGCGAGAAGCTGCAGGAGTGGTGGGGGGAATGACTAGACGTCGCAGTGACGAGATTCGCTATTGGAGAGCAAGCTACGATCCGGGGCCATTGTCTCCATTATCTTCGACCAAGGCGGAAGCGGATGAACCTATATTAGTGAACGATCCGGAAAGTCCACGACCAATAGAGTCCCGGGATCAGCCACAGCCTTTCAATTTTGGACATTTGAGTGGATTGGCTGGAATGAAGATCACCCAGGCTGCTGATCTGGCAACGAGAGTTGATCGTATCGAGTCTAGATTAGTTGAAATGGAGAAGACAGTATATCAGATTCATCGACAGCTAAATGGAAACGGGGATCACGTTACCCTCCAGGATCCTCCAAAAGGTGGTAAAAGGGATCGCAGCTCCTCAGAACGCCGCCCCCCAACTGATAACTCTGAAATGACTTTGCCAGTCTTACCTCGGCATCGGCATTGGCACGAATTTGGCGCTCAGAATCGGCTTCCCAACAATAACAACAACAACAACAACAACAATCGTCCCACATCATCGTCTCATAACAATTCTTACCATCCTGACTTTGATGATACAGTACCAGCTCCGTACGCCGCAACAACAGATGACCATGTGCGTTTAAGCAGTTCCCATACCACCTGTCGACCTCTTTCAACCTCAACTACTATTCGCGGTCTTCCATCCAGCTCTCCCACAACTCAAAAGGATGCGCCTCTGACAATGGAGCACTACAACCATTTGACGAATATGTTCCTAGCGGAACAATCTGCTCGCCAGCACCTGGAGAGTATTGTCCTCACCCTACAGCAACAGGCTGTCTCGTATCCCTCGGTAGCACCCGCGTCGTATCCCACTCCCAATTCCGTGGGGGGAGCTGGGCTAGTTCTCGACACCACATCATCGAGCAGGAGTACATTCAAGGGCTTTGGCGGTGATAGTGATGATGAAGCATATGCAGCAGCTTCCGAGGTTTTCCAGACCCCTAACGAAGACTTAGCCGGTCCAAACTTTGGAGATGAGGTTTTCGGCAGTGGAAAGGAAAGCGGAAGTGGAAGTGCAAGGCCGGGTGTTGACACTGGAAAGGGCGATGCAAGGACGTTGAGTTTAAGTCAGATCACGTTAGGGAAGGGTCTCCAGCATAGTTTGAATTTCTAGATTTCTGCTACCTAAGGAAAGCCGACTACATGGACAACTGGATAATTCTTCTCCTACTGTTGCTGCGTATGGCGTATGGAATCCCACACCCTTAATTTGCCTCGATATCTTTGGGCTTTTAGGGTGATGACATCAACATCCATTCCTTTTATATATTTTCTTTCCTATCCAATTTATCTTCTCGCACTTGCACTTCTGTTCTTCTCAAGTACACGTACTTCAATTCCGGCCGTAGATCTGGCCTCGCCTTTTATTTGCATATCATGGATCTAGCGGCTATTACAGCATCGAATATTTGATTTTGTTTTTTGTCAAGTCTCGTTTTTGGTTCTTCCAAATGTATTCATAGTGGGGTTTTAATGGAGTTTGGCTTGGACGACTAAACAGTGTCCTATTTCAATTGCGCAGAGGAAGGATGGGACGGGGGGTCCCGCTTAATACGAGGCCTCTTCCCCTTGTTATGTTCTTGTTATTGTATTATTTAGTGGGACGAATAGGAGAAGCGAAGAGGAATTTGGTTGAAAAAGATGAGGAGGTTGGAGATGTGTTTGAACATCTACATTTACATAGCCGTTGAGCGTGTCTATTGGCAAATTTTTTTTTGGATGGGAAGGACTCGGCCATATATGATTACATGTATATAAGTACCCAAATATATGAATGAATTAATTCATCCAAGTTACTCGAGCACCATTGCGTTTGTATTGACATTGGCGTGCTATGGACTGAATGGTGAGGCTTCAAGTATCTGAGGGAAAACAAGGTGACGGGTATAAAAATATATTAGCATAATTCAACGATATCGGGGACTGTTTAATATTTAGAGATTGACAATTAATAAGAATACTATCAGAATTTACATAAATTTACATCTTTGATTATCTTCCTGAATTTCGTACTCTTCCTCCTACTCCCGACATTTGAGCTTCCCCCGCCTTCACCGGGGGCTAGCGTATCTTCGGACCCCTGTTGAACCGAGGCCGAGGCAAAATATTTGTCTCAGCTCCAAGCTTATCTCATAAATACAACTTCACCTCCACAAGATGTTTCAAGCGATATCTCACTACAACTCTCGTCTAGAACCTACCCTAAATTACCAATGGCCGGTCCCGTAAGACAACCTATTGATCTCCAAGCTTTGGAGAAATATATAGAAAAGCATGTACCGGAAATCAAGACTCCTATTGACATTAAACAAGTCCGTCCAGCTCATCCTACTCCCAGGTTGATACCATACCGCCCAGGTACTCGTTGCTAATCTAATCGACAATGTGTAGTTCGGATTCGGTCAGTCAAATCCAACATACCAACTCCTCGCATCCAATGGCCAAAAATATGTAATGCGCAAGAAACCACCCGGAAAGCTTGTCTCGAAGACTGCACATCAAGTCGAACGCGAATATCGCGTTATTCACGCATTGGATAAAACAGATGTACCGGTTCCGAAAGCGTATTGTTTGTGTGAGGATGAAGGAGTAATTGGCACACCGTTTTATATTATGGAATTTTTGGATGGAAGAATTATTGAAGATCCAGGAATTCCGGGAGTGGGAGAGGAGGAGAGGAGGGAGATGTATGTTTTTCCTCTACATGTGATGATGCGCACTAGAATATGATGAGGAGTCAATACTGATAAAGTGTGAAAATAGGTGGCACGATGCGATTCGCACCCTAGCTAAACTCCATCGCGTTGATATATCAAAAGCAGGACTTACAAGTTTTGGTAAACCAGCGGGATTTTATGATCGTCAAATCAAAACTTTTGGCACGATAAGTGTGGCTCAGGCTTCAACAGTTGATATTGAGACGAAAGAGCCAGTGGGTCAGATACCACATATTGAGGAGATATTAGGGTTTTTCACAGATAAGAGATATCAGCCGAAGGATAGAGGGACCTTGATTCATGGAGATTATAAGATTGATAATCTGGTTTTTCACAAAACGGAACCAAGAGTTATTGGAATTTTGGAGTATGTGCTTCTCTTTCCTCAATATTCTCATTCATATCGGGTAGAAACCTAAACTAACAGCCTCTTCTCCAGCTGGGAAATGTCCACAATCGGGCACCCTCTTTCTGACATAATAAATCTCCTCTCCCCTTATGCCGTCCGCAACGAGAAGAAATTCGCATCCCTTCCACAGTTTCAAGAAGAAAACTTACCCGGTCTACCCTCGGAATCAGATTTAATTTCCTGGTATCGAGAAACAGCGGATTGGGACCCAGAACCTGATTTACCCTGGGGAGTGGCATTTGGCTTCTTCAGAAATACATGTATTTATCAGGGCATAGCTGCTAGATGGGCGATGAGACAGGCGAGTAGTGCGAAGGCAAAGGTTCATGGACAGGGGATGTGGCCCATGGGAGAGTTGTGTTGGAAGTTTGTGGGATTGGCGAAGAGGGCAAAGGAAGAGGGGGAGAAGGCGAAGTTGTAGGAGCTGTCCGGGATCGACAGTTAGAAATGTCGTGGAATGCATTGTCTAATCTGGAAATGAAGGGGCTCGTTCGCGCTTACTTTTTATCCACTCGTCGATTTAAGATAAGTTCTTTGATTGTTAGTTCTGGAGTTCAGGACTTGGCTTCCCAATTTGCTCTACTTATAGAATTAGGGCTATCAGATTTTAATGGCTTATAGGGCTAAAGAGCTCGAGTACGAAAAGATGTTAGGACTGCTTGGAGAATCACAGAAGTCTGAAATCCTTGGTTCACCCTTCCACGCGAGTTTGTGGAGGGTTTCATTGCGATGATTCGAGGGAGCAGGGAAGGAAGATAATTGTTTTGATAATTTCATTAATAAGAAGTTGGAATTTCTGTTACTTCGTCTTATATGTCGAAATCCCACGGTGAGAATTGTATGTTGAAAAATCGTCTTGGTGTTCTCCTGCAAACATCAAGTGCTGTATTCGATGTGGAAGCACACGACCCCGGCGAGCCCTTTTGGTCATCTATCTGTTCGAGCTTTCCGCCCCTGTTAACAAAGCTACTCATGTTCCTCCTTCGTATCATTTTAACTGTCTCATCACACGCCATTGATCCAACCTCATTCTAAACTTTGAAAGTGTCAAAGTTGTTGCTCAAAACTATTCGCACAAAATTGGGCATATCCCTCTGTTGAAACCCTGCCGCCTTTGTAAAGACGATATAGAAGTACTTCGCCTGTCTTGTAGTTTGTATATTCTTTCATTCCGGTACGGAGGAATGTGAATTTACTGGGACGGCTGCAAGCTTGTCGGAGTGCTTGACTAGAGTGCTGGCAGCTTCAAGGGGCTCAGGTTGAGCGTGGCCCTGATGAAGTAATTTTCAGGTTGCAAGAAACTGAAATATTTAGGTGACTTCTTGTAATTCGTCAAGACTAGTCACGCTCTAGCAGATGACTTGTATATTTCACATGGTGAGTCGTTTAATAGCAGCTCAATAGAGCCGAGCTATCATGGATATCTTTAAGCAGGATAGAAAGCTGCATGTGAACAAGACACGCACTGCAAAGGGAAAGCAAGAGGTGCAGCTGAGTTACAAATAAATGTTGAATCATATTGGTAACGCACCCGTGGCTGTGATGAGGAGTAGGAGAATGGTGCACCTTTGAATATGGCCGGTCCTGACAGCGAGAGGAAGTAACAGGAGTATCGGCTTACAAATGGGTATGGTAGGCGAGGAAATGCGTGGTAAATAGTAGTAAATATTTTAGAGCTCTAAATATATTCACAATAGGCTATTCTTAGATTCGACTGCTGATGGCTAGTTTCTTTCTTCCGGCTCACGTGGCTTTTGGGCCACCTCCTTACTCTGCTACTGAACAGTAAATAAGCTGTCCCAACTGTAAAGCGTTATTATGCTGATTTACTCAAATATATGATATCTCTGGGAGTTTCAAATTCCTTGGTGCAACATCAAATCCGTCGACCTTCTCAATCTTCGATATGAAGCATCAGAGGCCGTTTTTCCTGCTACTTTACACACATATCCCTAATACATATCAACAATTTTGACGAATCTAATAATCGATTTCTCCTTTATTCAGGTGTGGCTTTCAATCTTTAAGTATACCCTCCGACCTTAATTCGGCACCAGAATGGGCCAACAAGGTAGAGGTTAGATTTTAAGAATCAAGTTGGAAGTTAAGCAATTGGAAGGGTGGAATAATCATAGTCCTGTGAAGAATGTTAACTTCGAGGCGTGGTAGCGTAGCTTGGTCTATTCCAGCATATGAACTAGTCGTGACGTTGCCATAGATTATAATGACTTGGTAGAAGATTGACCAGGAGAACTACAAGAAAATTTCAGGAGCGGCAACAAAGACCAACGCAAATACAAATTCAAGCACACTGAAATCACCAATAATCACACTGGCATTACAGAGTTTGAAATAGGTATTGTCAAATAGCCAAACTAAAGTATGTCCGACGCTGCACCCGAGCAAGACTAGAAGGAAGCCAAACATCAACGAGGATAACCCTCCATACGCAGCGATTGTTTTTCTTCTAATAAATGTCTACATTGGACCGATGAAGCAAGATGGTGACTGATTCCTGTCTTTGCTACACCTACTTATATATCAACGATCCTGAGAACTTGAAGGACGTCTGGAAGTAACCAGCGCTTTCAGTTATGAACATTCCACTAATGGATCAGTTAACGAATGAGCGTATTACCATCTGTAATACCATTCTCATATATCAACTGTATGGTGGTGACCATGTTGTTATCTCATATTGTACGACTAACTACTCTGGCTTACATAGTCGGTAGTTCTCATGACTAGGCCATTTCTAGTCTACTACAAGAGTTTAAAGTTGATCTTTCCTGCAGGGAAAGGCATAACCCACAAGAAATAGATGTCTGATATTAGATGCCACCATCAGTTTGGCAAGGTGCCTCGATCGGCTGAGTGAGCGAATAAATTAGCGAAGATATCAAACTACGGAATATGATCTTGATCCTGTTCTCCAGCTATTGAAGAAATGCACATCTTGCACAGATGTATAAAGTAGAGGCGAGATTTGGCCGGAGAACTACCAAAAATAGTATCACGAGAGATGTCGTCCAAAAGCTCTTGAATGTACTAAATACTAGGTGTCTACATAAAGGCATTCCGAAACAACAGGAACAGTAAGCTCAAATGGCTATGGCCACTATAGTTCTCACACACGGAAACCCAAGTCAATACCATGACTAGTCAGCTCCAAAAGCCAGCCCTATATGTGACCCAAATACTAGTTTACGTACTGAACTACTACATTCTATAACAAGCTTGTTATATGGATCTCTGGTGATCTAACAAGAAAACTTGAAGGCAGCACAAATCCGATGTGTGGATGTGTATCACGACCAATACCATACTTGCAATTGGCCTCGATAATATTAGATATAAGGTCGTTGGCACTCAACTGGATGACCCAAAGTTGGAATCGATTGGCTCAGTGGAGGTATTATTTACAATACCAAATGAATTGATCTCGCTCATGACCTTTTGAGTCCAGACTGTGATGTGCAGCATACAATCTTGAGCGAAAACTCACTACCTGCCTATTTGCTACCCTTTTTGACGTTGGTCGGTGATGTAGACGAGACAACGAGACTTCTGGAAAAGTAGAGAATTACAACCTTACAAGTGATTGATCTAGTGGTATCTCTACTTACAAATTTCCAGTACTCTATATAGTAAATAATTATCAGTGACTAAAAAAAAAACTTTATGGAAAAAAGTCTTAATTAATTTTTCATTCGAAAATAACATTAAAAATAATAATTTATAAAAGAATTTTTTTTAAAATTTATAATAAGAATGAAATATATTATTAATAATATATTATTTTAAATATATATGTATAAAACTTTTAAATTTAAAGTTCTAATAATTAGAAAATATAAATTATTCCAATTTGAAAGATTATATAAACAGTTTATACTAATTGGGCCTCCATTAGCTAGAGCTCGAGATCGATTATATATATACTTATTGTCACGGGTTCATAACCCGTTCTAGTTAGCCTACATGGACGCATATGGCTTCCACATCCTATATATTCGGTGCTTCTCCTAGCACCTTCTTTCTCCCTTTCTAGAATATCTTCATATTACCTAGGAGCCTATCTGCCACCGTGATATCTATGTAAGAATACATTACCCCTTGAGATAATCGATGTTCTGATCATTAATTAAAAATTATTCCAAGAAGCAATCAAGCCCTGATTAATCAGCTCTTTACAGCATATATATTATATAAGTTATCTCAAATTAATCTCATAATCCTTAAGAAATATCATTACTTGCACTCATTTCAGATCCCCACCTCATAAGTACCACATATTTAAATTTCGAGAATTCGCAATGATTCAATGACGTAATGAATCAATCTAACCATAGTCCCTGGGGCCCTATTATTTTCCCTAGTATTCAAAATCATCATTGCGAGTATTTGTAGTATCGCCTCATGACAATTTGTCTTTACATATTCCCTCCTCACCTTTCCCTCTCCATGTATACAGCTAGTGCTACGACCTGTCCTCTCTCATGTCCATCCGTCCCTCTCTCTTTCCCCATCTCCCCCCCGACCTTTTCTCCGCACTCTTCTTCATTCCACCTCCCTCCAAAAAATCAAGGAATAGGCGCCACAAGGAATCCCGCACACTTAGCACTACAAAGGCCAAAAGCCGTATTACACGCTATAATTGTAGGAGGAGCAGTTGCACCTAAAGTTGCTCCCCACTGTTTATTTCATGGAGTGTTAGTCTTGTATTTCTAGGGGGGAAAAACTGGTAGGAAAGGTGGACGGAAGGGCCGAAAAGAGATTTTGATAGAAGGAAGATTTGGATGATGGGATTTAGATGAGGAAGAAGGAGAAGCTTGATAGAGGATTTAACGGAAGACAGGAACGTGGAAAGGGGAAGGGAAGAAGAGAAAAAGATGGGTGTATATTAAGGGAAGTCATACAGTAAATCCTGCCGCTAAATAACAAGCCATAACCACAGCCGCACAACCGCTTTGACAGGCACCGTAGGCGATGGGTCCTGCGGATGCCATTCCCATAAAGCTGGCAAGGGTTGTGAGAAGGATAGAGGTTGGTTTCATTTTGCTCTGAGTAATGTGACGTGTGTGATGTGTGATGTGTGATGACGTGACAGTCGATGTATAACTTATACTGTAAATTGGATTGTCATGTATCAGAGATATCTGCCCAAATCTAAGGTCGTGTAGTCAGAGATTTGTTTTTGTACACAAGACGATGCGAAAAAGATCGACTAATGATAGGGTGACTCACTGTCCTCAGATTTTTGTCGCTACTCAGAATCCTTATTACTATTTTGCGCACGTTTCTCGTTGTGTGTCTCAGATATTCTTCAAGAATATGAAGAATTTAAATCCAGCGGAGGTATACAAACATATACTTATACCCACCCACACCCTACCTACGCCGCATTAGCCTCTTTCTACCCCGCTCTATGCTGCTCATAACAAACTCGGGAATGGCAAGGCATCCGTCAAAACATTACAAGTATCAAATAACAAGGCTAATCGAGGCTTCTGTAGAAGCTGGTGGAATATTCGGAGCAGTATAACATATGCACGATGAGGCTGTGTCAATTAGCATCTGATGGGTGGAGCCACGTGGAAGACATGAAAAATAAAAATTATCGATTTGCATTATGCTATGCTTCTTTGGGTATTCTGTGCGACTATGAAGTCAAAAGAAGAAGAAAAAAGGTGATACGAATCATGATATCCTATGTGCCAATACCCTTCAAGCCCGGCACTTCACCAGACGCCGTGTACCAAACGAGAACAAAACAGAAGATATTACCATTAAGTTTACGCGAAGCTCGCTAATCGACCTCATCAACTTCAACTTAGCTCCCAAGCCGCAACCCCTGCAAAGCCCATCCCACACTTCCCCTTCTTCACCTCGTACTCCCTCTTCGTCATTCCCCTAGCATCCTCTCCGTTGACACTCGTGATCGCAAACAAACTAATCGTTTGACCCCTCGCTCCCAGTTCCTTAACCCTAACATCTACCCACCACCAAAAGCCATCGAATTCAAATGGTATCATATCCTCCTTTCTCCCATCGATCCCTCCTATTTTCAACAACATACAATATGGCTTACCAGGTCCGTTGCGCTCAAAGTCGTAATGTGTACATATTTTGGAAAATTGGAAACGAATGATTTCGTTGGATGTGGGTGAGGCTTGCATGTGTCTCTGAGGGGGTGCGATAGAAGTTTGGGAGATACCGTGGTGATCCTCTGGAGAGCTGAAAATTTGTAATGGTTCACCACCGATATTTCCAATAAAATATTCCTCCCAGCTTAAAATTCTTGTATCATTTCTAAAAAAATGTGCTTTATCAGCTGGGAAATGTTTGAGACCAAATTCTTCATTCGACATGGTGAAGTAGGATGAGATCAAATTCTTGTTGTACGTTTGATCGTCTCCTAGTTGACCAGATCCCCAACATGCATCGATAAGTTTCCATTCTCCCCCATCAATACGAACTGCATTCCAGGCATGGCCACCTGGATTAGGTGGTGGACATGATTCTCCTGGTTTGAGTGGTGCATATCCGAATCCTTTTCCATGGCCCGTTATCATGATGGCTTCGAGTCCTGCTTTAAGTGCAATAGCTGTAAACAGACCAGCGTATCCACCACAAACTGCTAAGCCGGTTTTAATAGTATCGGCCGGTGTAACATTTTTGACTCGATTGCCAAAGAAGGCTCCAGTGTCATAGGCTATATTATGGTGAAGCCAAACGAATATCGCACGAGCTTTATCAGTAGGTGAACTGAAAGGGTGACAAAGAACATCAGCAAGATATCCTGTATTATCAGGTGATCTTGGAAGGAATTCTCTTGAATATTTTGATGCAATTTGATCCGGGCCAGAAAAGTCTCGACATAGGAGACAGCCCATTGAAGAAGATGATGTAGTTGGAGCAGCACTTACAGCTTTCACTTGAGCCGATGTTGGCTTTGATCTAAGGTTAATAGGTGGTGGTGCTCCTCCTCCAGGTTTTGGTGCATCAGATGGTGATATTCCGGTCTTTTTAGTCAAGAACTCCGTCATAGCAGCCGTATCTCTCATATACTGATACGTTTCGGGGTTATCTCCATTTCCATCGAAGAACATGATGGTCGGATATCCTTGTATGCCATATCTGGCCATGAAAGATTTATGTTCGTCGACATCAACCTTGGCAATCACAAGTCTGTCAGAAGCAAATGCAAAATCCTCGGCAAGTTGTTTGTAATGCGGGTCCAATTCGACACAATATTTGCAATATGGGGCATAAAAATCCACAAGAGCAAATTTCCCGGAGACAACGACACGATCAAAATTATCGGAGTTCAGTTCTTGGATGGCAGGTGCAGGGGTTCTGTTGTGTGTAAGGTCTGGCCTTGGTGTAGGATTTGGTGTTTCGGTTGACTTGTTGCCGAACCCTAGGGATAAAGCAGAACGAGTGGAAGATGGAGGTGGTAATCTTCGTGGTGGTAAAGCAATTGACTTTCCTTCCTCAATGTTTGCAATTGGTCTTGGAGGCATTTTTGGTGGGCCATTTGGCCTTGAAGGCATTTTAGGTGGCATCTCACGATCAACAACTGGAGGCTGCTTAAGAACAACCGGGGCTGACTTGGTCTGTAATGTAAGTTTGTTAACTCTGTACTATTGGAAGCTAGGAGAAAAAGTTGCGGTAACAGTGTCTGAAGCTCTACATGAAGTGGATAGAATTTGATAGGACACCCGGTCCACCCAAACCTACAGCCCAACATTGTGTAAAATCTGCTAATAATACTTACGGAAACGAGTGGTATTTTAGCCTTCTGCTCCAATCTTGCCTTCTCCTGCAATTCCCTCCTTGAAGGTGGTAAAGGCGGAAGCTTTGCCATATCCAAAGGAGGGGGCAACATTCTCTTATCCGTTGACCCAATGGATGTTATTGAAGAGGGAGGTCTGCCATAACTGTTCAATGATATGGCGGAGACAGTGGAGACTTGTGATATGGTCGAGTCTCCCGAGCCTCTTCTTGCCAATTGTGTTGATGTAGATGCTCTCCTCGGTGGCAGAGACGGCGTTGAAGCTTTCCTGGTGGGCAATGGAGGAGGAGCATTTCGAGGTGGGAGAGCAGGACTCTTGGCATTGTTCGTCGGACCATCGCGATCGACTGAGGGTGAGTTTGACTTTGCACCAATCGGTTCATTGAATGGTTTCTGGTTCACAGCCGAACCATATGTAAGAATTGGAGGATTGTTGGCAGTCTTTGGTCTCGTAGGAAGGGGGGGACGATTGGAACTTGGGATAGGGGGTGGTGGTGGCCGTTTAGCTATTGCCAGAGAATTATTCTGAGGGACCAAAGAGTCATCTGCCTGTTGTTGCTTCAAAGCAGCAATGCGCTGCGCAAGGGTGGTGAACTGCGGCTCTTCGACATCGGCCATGATGTGCGATACAATTGTCGTAGCTGTGTCAAAGGTTTGAAAGCGAGGGTAATTGTAGTAGCCAAGGATACAATATAGATACTTGTTGGAGGTGGGGCGAGGGTTCTGCCTAAATGCTTCACTTCATGTAAGATCCTGTATTGTTTTCCATAACGAGCCCGGCGAGGAAACGACAGTGAGGTGGAGGTGGAATGATATTAGAAGTATTAAAAAGAAAACGAGCGAGCGAAGGATTCATCTCATGTCAGACAGCCAACTGTTTGAAAGAGTGGAATGAAAATACTCAGCACAAGGCTGTATGTAATGCGACAAGAGGAGTTCGATTTACATACGAGATACTCAAGCAGGAGATCTTCACCTGGGTTTGGACCGCTTCAATTGGACGGGGAGGAATTTAGTGTATTTAATATGTCTTGGCAGGGACCAAAGTGGAAATTCTACAATCCCATCTCTGCACAGATAAATTGGATTTTGATATTTTTATACTTTGAATATCATATCTACTCGTCCGTACCTACTAACAAGGTTTGATCCGTTTGAATTATAAGTAACACGATAGTTTATTTGGTTGCATATAATCTTAGCCGATGTATCCCAAAACATAACGAAATCCATCAGGGTTAAATGTAAAATAAATATAAACTTTCTGAGAGAGGCACCGCCGCACCTAGTAGATAAACCTTGTGCTTTGGCTTGTCTTGTCCCTATAATAATAGTTATAATAATTACAATTTCTTGCTTAATGACGCTCCGCTGGCCCTCTGGGAGCCACTGCCGTGGAGGCAGAGTAGCGGGGAACGAATGCATCTTTGCTATCAAATACATCGAGTATAGATAGATAGATAGGTAGGTAGGTACATATTGAAGAAAGGAAAATTGTTAATTATAAGAATTATGGAATTATCAAGAGCCTAATCCTTCCACGCCGAGACCCTATCCTCCCGTGATTCCTTTGCATCCAAACAAAACAACCTGACCTATGCATCTGACCCTCGTAATCATCGCTCCCAGCGTCGTTCCATGACAGGTCCAGCCAGCCCAATACGCCTATTATCTAATTTTCACAGACCTTCCTATCCAACGTTCAGAGATCCTGGTACCGGTATGTTCCGATATTCAAGATTCTCCATATCGTGTACTTTCTCTCGTTTCTATTGTCGAATTCGTGCACCATGCCCCCCAATCCCTTCTATTCCGGAATGCGCCGCTCCACCTCTTCCCTTTCATCCTCCCCACTGACCTTTCTTAAAACAACAAATCCAAACAGCAGCAACAAGCTAAAGCTCCCAAACAAGCTCCCAGAAAACCTTCACTAGAAGAACCCCTTTGCTGTTGTCCATAGGGTTGCTGTCCATATCCCTGCTGATATCCATAAGGCTGTTGGTATCCGTATTGCGGTTGTTGTTGATATCCCATTTGCGGGCCTGGGGCATAGTATCCTCCTTGGGGTGGATATCCTTGTTGAGGGTATTGTTGCCCTGGTGGTGGGTATTGCTGAGGATACGGCTGTTGGTATTGTTGTTGCTGATATTGAGGCCGAGGTGAAGGAGAAGGTTGCATATAAGCTGCTTGAGGCATGACGGGTGCCGGGTTTTGACTAGGACCATCCGAGCCGTAGGCTGGAGGTGGAGGTCCTTCTTCGTATTTCTTAGACATTTTTGTTATAGAGTTTTGGAGGATTCGATGCGATGTCTGTGTGTATCGTGTTGAGACCTCCGGAAATTGTGTGATATTGTTCGAGTGACTGAATTGAGATAAGGTGTTTTGTAGGAAGAAGGCGACTGTTCTTATTAAGACAGATAGGTAGATAGTGGCTCTTGGGACGATCTAATAATTCAGATCAACGTCATACAAGATGGCTAAATCAATTAAAGATCAAAACTATATTTGACTTTGGTGTCCAAGTATATGGTTCACAAGGTAAATCCTGGGGATATACTTAATTCGCCAAAAACAGAAGAGGGAAGGAAAAGAAGATGAAAGCGAAAAAAACGAAGAATTGGGAGGTTTAGAGATTCTCTTTGGTATTAAAATGAAAAGGCAAGAGAAACAAAGGAAATGCTTGGGTATAGCATTCGGAGTTCTTGGGCTTTTGCTTTTGGTACATTTATTGTCGCAAATTTGAATTTGGCATTCGATAGTGGCTTAGCACAAATCAACATACTGACCTTGACCTGTCCTTGAACCGGCGACAGCATTTGAGTACATCATCTCATGAGAGACGACCGACACCTTTTCTTTTTTTTTTTTTCATCGAACGAGGGAACAATCGATGCAATTATCCGAGGTAGTAGATATTTGAAAGAAAGACATCTTTTCCATCAACGGTATCCCAACTTCAGAGTGGAAGAGAGAGAGAGGGGTGGATGTTTTAGTTGTAAGTCTTGTTACTCTATGTGGTGGAGCCTCTGGCCATGACCATAACCATAACCCCATGCATGGCATGGAACTTTTCCAAACTTGTGCATCGCATCATCACACACATCTTACATCAGACATCTTACACACACATCTTACATCGCACACATCATACACATCACACATCTTACATTTTATTACATACGCAAGTGATTTTGACCAGGTACAGATTCTCGATCCATGAGCCTCCGTTTGCTGTGAAGGAATATCCGGCATGACATTATCTAGGTTAGGCCTGAGTAGTAGATGAGATAGGTAGGTCCTGTACTAGGTAGCTAATTTTCATTTTCGTTTCCGTATTAATTTATCCTCTTCTTTTTTTTCTCTTCTTTCCTTTCCTTTCCCTCTCCCTCTCCTCTCCTCTCCTCTCCTCTCCTCTCCTAAATCCTGTCTTCCTCCTCTTCCTTTCTCTCTCCTTTCACATTGTATATCCTCAATTCCGAATACTTCAATTTATCTTGCCTTCATCTGCTTGCTTATTTCCATCTTTAAAGGCCTCGGAAGTCAGCTCATCAAGTTCAAGCATTACCCCTCCAACTCCACTTGAATCTAACCGTATCACCCCGTCAAGCTCAGACCAGCCAGCTTATTCAACAGCTCAGTCGTAAACAATCAATCAAAAGTATCAACAGGCCGCATATGAAAACACATCACTTTTTTTGGCTCATAGTCTTTGATTAAATTAAGAAGGACTTTTCCTACGGCCTCGAGCGTATCATCGCTCGTAGGTTTTGTTACCAAACATGGCACCTATTCCACTTTCTGTATTCTCGGGGATTTCGACCATATCGAGGGATATTTCGCATTCGGCTTCGTTGACCTCGAGAACGACAACACTCCTAAAGCCAATCTCTACATTTCTCCAACCCACAAATGCCGAACTTCCTTCTCCTTCGAATTTTGCGAAAATTTTGACTCGTCTAATATCACGACAAGCTACAAGTAGTGACCCTAGCGTAATTCCCACCACATATGGAGAGCAGAACAACTCTTCATCGCCTGGTACAATCGTCGGCATAGTTTTAGGCTCGGTTGGAGGCTTTCTGCTCCTTCTCTGGCTCTTATATACATGCTCCACCATGAGACGTTCAGCTGCGGAGTCTACCTTTACTGAAGATGTAACTTTCCACGAGAATTCACGGCGGAGATCTCATAACTCGCGCAGGAGTTCGAGACCCCATAGTCGAAGGGTGAGCGCCACTGAGAAAGTCGAGATTAGGCGTCAACGCAGTCGAAGTCCCACTCCTGTTCGAGTGGTGAGGGAGGAAGTGCGACAAGAAGTGAGGAGACCTCCACCTGTCGAGAGAGTTGTTGTTGAAGAGAGAAGGGAAGTAAGAAGGAGTAGGGACGAGAGAAGTTCGGGTACAAGTGGCGGGAACAGTGATGAGGTTGTGGTAATTGAAGAACATGATCCACCGAGGAGGTCAAAGAGTAAGAGGGAGAGGAGGAACAGTGGATTTCGAACAGTGGACCCATTGAGCGTTGGGGGTATCGTTGGTGGAGAAGGTAGGAGAGGCGAACGGAGGAGGTAATACCCTGGATTGTAAAAGAAACACTGGAGTTGAGGTTGAAGTTTCGGGGTAATGGAGGGTATGAGGAGTTGGCAAAATTACTTTGCATGAAAGATATAAACACGAAAGAGCAGACCTTTCGACCATCTCCTTTCGAAAGACTTACAGAACGGGGGCATCTCGCCGTATTTTGGACCGACCATCATAATTACCTCGAGGTCATGGTTATTTGAATCGCATTTCATTGTACGAGCTTAATGGTGGACGACTATACGAAGCGCTAATTGGACATGGCTGGAATCTTGATGAATATACGGGAAATGACGTATGGAGGGAATCTGTATGTAGCATTAACGACGAGATTTTTTACGAATTTCAGGAGGAGCCATGTAGGATTGATGTGCACATGTAAGTAAACGAAAGAGCATTTTAATCCCACATTTTCCGCATCCCTCCCCTTATTTATTAGCCGTGATCCGTCGGTAAATTCCTATACCGCAAGCAAATCCCGCTTCTAACCCCCATTTACAAACAGATTGATCGTCAAGCTCTGCCACCAAGAAATGAACAGTACTCCGTATGCGTATCTGCGGTCATACCCGTACTTATTCCTAGTAGAATTCCAGGCCTCAAGTATTGAAATTGCGATGTCGGGCGTGTCAGCTTGCATTCGCTAAAACGACGAGTTTACTGTTTATCAGAAGGGCATGCATGAGTTGCAAGGGAAAGGCATGCTCTAGATCTTATAGGTTTTTATTCTGTTGTTCTGTTATGTTATTCTTATGATACAACTGGTGTTTGGCCCATCAGTTTTGTCAGATAGATTGACATGGACGTATAAAGTTTGAAAAGCCCATAAACATAAACAGCCTAAAAGGACTAAAAGGGAAATTAAGCGATATACTCGAGTAAGGTCAGGAAAGGAAAAAGAAAAAGGAAAAAAAAAGGATTCTTTTCTTTCTGTAGGTATAATAAGGTAATAAATATAATAAGATAATAAATACTTAGGTAAGCTATTTATTATCCTATTGATCATATCCAATCGGAGATGCACCGCACTCACAATATGGTAATGTGGGGATTAATGCACGGTTATGATTGACTAAGGTCAGATGTGGTTGTCGAAGGGCGTGTTGACATTTTTTGACAAGGATTCAATTGAGCATGAAGATGACTGTTCTAGATGAAGGACCAGCGAGTTTGAGTTTGAATTTTGATATGTTTCCAGGTTGGCCTTTTTAATCTCCTTTTTTTATTCTCACATCTGTCATCCATCCAGCAAATATATACCCAAGATTATTCATTCTTCTCTCACGCCCTTTCTTGGACTCTTGTCAACATTATCATTTGCCTTTGCCTTGCTCAAGTAGTCCTGGAGGAGTGGGGTTTTCTGTACCGGATTACTATCCCCGGCATCTCACCTACTCAGTTTAGTCCTTCATTTTCATCCAAACGGTCACCGCGCCCTCTAGATGACCACAATTGACGAAATGGACGAGTTTTTCAATTTTGAGGATGCTACTCATTCGACCACTGATCACTTCGATTATGACTTTAGTCATCTCAATGCCACTTCGGGTGTAGATCCCTATGATATCGACCTAACCTTTGCGGATCCTGAAGGAGATGGGAACCCATTCACACGCCTTCAACATTTCTCCGCTCCAGAAGAACACCCTTCCCAAGCTTCTGGAAGTGAGTTGGTCAATACATCGACACTTGATATAACGACCCTTGAAGCACACGACTTCCAAGATTTCCCAAGGTGGATTAATGGAATGTCAGAGCCTACCAAGCCTTGTACACGATGTCGCCAAGAGAACACTCATTGCAAAGTTATCAAAGAGGGTTTTCGTAAGGGTTCTTGCACATGCTGTGTGGCGCTTGCGAGACAATGCAGCTTAACACGAGATTTGAATATCACGGACACAAAATCATATGATTATCGTGGCTCTGACAAAGTCAACGGTATTGGGGACAGCCAGGGAAACCGAAACATCAACGAAGAAGAAATCACATCTTCAGTCAAGCAGTGTGAGCACTGCAGAGCATGTGCTGAACCATGCAACGTATTATCAGAGGGGGAGAGTCTCGCTTGTCAAAATTGCCTGGTATTGAACCAACCTTGTAGCTTGGTACGACATAATGATTGGCAGACAGCGGAAGGTCTCTCTCAATCCAACCCTCTCATATCACCCATGTCTCCTTTTGAAGGGTACAGTTCATACTCAGCATCTCGAAACGATTCTTCGACAGATTTATCAAATATCAAAACTTCCACAGAAAATCTCAAATTGGATGTTGGGGAAAATAGTCCTAAAGTTGGAGCGAGATTCTCAAGACAGTCGGTACGAATCCTCAAGGATTGGCTCGGACTACACCATCATCATCCATACCCAACAGATTCTGAAAGGGAGATCCTAATGTCCAAAACGGGATTGAACAAAACGCAAATCACGAATTGGCTCGCGAATGCACGCCGAAGAGGAAAGACGAGACCGACAGTTACCCCGCCAACTGCGGGAAATTATGCAAATGCCATGGATATCCCAAGGAAAGCTACTCCTGCGTTGGAGCACATGAATCCTCTGGAACGTTGGAAGCACTCTCCACCCGAACATGAACCTGCATCGGCAACCGCTATAGCAAAGGCCGTTACAGCTTCTAGTTACAATTCTGGTATGGATAGTCCATACACCAGTTACGCTGATGATGGGTCGAACCGATCCCTTTACAATGTATCGTCGGCTAGTAGTTTGGGAACTTCCCACTCTAGCGCTGGTTCATTTGCTTCGGCATATTCTCATAGATCTCGTGGATCGTTTGGCTCTTTTGGTTCTTTTGGACTCAAAGGCAGACGTCGTCGTCGTCGACAAGCACCAAAACCAGCAAAAGCTATAGCTGCAGGTCCCGCCCGTACCTTTCAATGCACTTTCTGTACCGAATCCTTCAAGACAAAACATGATTGGCAGAGGCATGAGAAATCTCTACATTTATCCCTCGAGAGGTGGATCTGTTGTCCCAATGGCCCTACACAATACAACAAGGAGTACGGACGACCAGCTTGCGTATATTGCGATCAACCGAACCCGTCAGATGGTCATGCTGAAACACATAACCATTCAAGTTGTGCTGAGAAGTCAATTGAAGAAAGGACATTCTATAGGAAAGACCACCTACGACAACATTTGAACCTTGTTCATGAAGCGAAATTTGTTAGTTGGAGCATGGAAAGCTGGAAAGCCATCACGCCAGAAATACGCTCTAGATGCGGCTTCTGCGGCATAGTGATGGATTCTTGGACGGCTAGAATTGATCATTTAGCCGAACATTTCAAAAGTGGAAAAAGTATGGTTGATTGGAAGGGTGACTGGGGTTTCGAACCACAAATTCTCAACATCGTTGAGAATGGAATTCCCCCTTGTAAGTATTTTTGTTCCTCATCCTTCTGCGTTTGCGAAGACTAATGCTGTAATAGATCTGATTCATGAAGAACGAATGACCATGCGGCCCTTTGAAGCTTCGCGATATCTTTCAAATGTAGAGCACACACCAGAAAACCTGATCAAGAGCGGTCTCACTCAATACGTCAATGACAAGGTTGTACAAGGCATAACACCAACAGACAAAGAGTTGCTCGGAATGGCACGCCAAATAATCCGCAATTTGGATGCTGTGTCTGATCCACAGCATTATTCCCAAGGCTCTTGGCTAAGCGACCTGATCTTGCTCTCCAGGTCGGATATCTGCCAGACAGATGAAGATGTCCTTGAAATGTCGTCAAGCAAGCCATTAGAAACAGTACAACGCTCATTGATTGATGCAACACCATTAATGCACCAATGTCCAAAAGAGATTGCCCTACGAAATTACGTTAATTCGAGACAAATGCTTGGTTTAACTGCTACGGACTCTGAACTACAAGTGGAAGCATGTAGGATTATTGACGAAGCTGAATTAACAGCCGCGGTACCTTGCAAAGGCGCTGTTTCATGGTTCAAGTACCTGATAAAGGATTCGACTGGCTGGCTCGCTGATTTCAGAAGGCGTGCAGGCTTACCTAGGAGTTGTGAAATGGCTAATGAAGGTGTAAGATCGAAGGACGAAACTTCTATTGATCATGGCATACATAACTATGCTCGACTCGAAGCAGAGATGAAAGATTATGTGCAACTTCAATTCTCCCTGGGTAAAAAGCCTGCAGATCCTGATCTTCAGCGACACGCTAGGCTCATCGTTTATGGAAATGATGACCAATGGAATCAAACGTGGGCTGACGATCCACTATATCTTCATATATTCAAGACGAGAAACGGACTTGCGCCTGCCGCGGAAAATAAACCTTCCATCATGTTTCCAACAGCTATCGGTTCTCCTGAGCGAGCCGAATCCCCGTCAAGAACCTCACATTGGGAGTTGGAGAATTACGAGGCTCGTAGTCCTCCAGGGAGTAAAGGGAATTCACCAAATATGAACTACAATCAGCCAGTCCATACACTGGAAGCATCCAATCAACCATCGACAAACTCTAACCCTACACAGCCTCTGAAGTACTTCCTCAACGATGCAAATTGTTACAATCGATTAGTCCGAGAGCTTTCCAGATTTGTGGCGAGATGTATGTCGCCAAACAATCCCAACCAACATGTAAGAACATCTCTCAACCCGATAGTCTTTTTGATGTACTGACAAACAGTAGATCCCAACAGATGGCGAACTTCAAAACCAAGCGCGCTGGGTAATTTATGATGATGACGACCCATGGAACCAGACCGCAGCCGACAACGCAGAATGGTTAATGCGATTTAAACGTGATGCCGGTCTGTCACCTCAAGAATCTGGGCCGGGTCTTCCCACAGCAAATGTCTCCTGGAGAGTTTCTTCAGGCGGCTCAGGTTTCTATCCACCTTACTTGAATCCAGGAAAGAATCTCAAGGCATGTGATAGTGCAGAAATAGAAGTCAATCTTGCGAAAATAGACGGAAGCGAGAAGATGGTGAGGTTGAGAGGAGAAACCGCGAATGTATATATCAAAGGACTCAAAAAGCGATACAAAATGCCCGCACACGTTTTCTGCTCGAGGGAATTAGAAGAAGCATTATTCGATTTGGTCAAGACAGAAAAAGAACACGGCCGCGTGCCCACCGATGGATTATTGAGGGCCAGAGCAAGGGACGTTTTGAATGTGCCGAACACAGCAGCGGATGACCAGGAACTTTTGGAGAAATTCAAAGCTCATTATGGAGTTCCTTCATCTGATCAACAACAAAATCATTCGCTACATTCACAAACTCAAACGTATCAACCACAAGCCCAATCAATACTCTCATTTTCCGCGCAACAACCTCCAGCTTTTCTCAACGATGATAATTTATTAGCTTGTTTCGGTGAGGAATTATTTGATCATTGTGATATGGACTTGGGGCTTAACACCTCATCAACCGCCAACATGGACTTCTTCTCGAGTCAAGCTTCTTCAACGTTACGACCAGTCGTTCCTGCATCGCCATTTACCGGTATAAATGAGGGGGATTTCGATATGAACATGAATATGGGGATGGAAGACCAACATGCAGAACCATGGGCTAATGGGATGAACGCGTTAAACGAGTTAGAGGAAATGGAGGAAACAGACGAGGGTTTCAATTTTGAAGGACTTAGTGAGGAGGGAATGAATAAGCAAATTGAATTTGCTGAGTTGCACAAGGTTAATACGGCTACAGCTAGTCCGTGGAGAAGGAAGGCATCTGAAAGGTTAGCGAGAGGAAAAGGGAATCCTAGGAATGTTGAAGGGGGAGGTGGGGTGATGGGGTATGATTTTTCAAGAGGAGGAAGAGAGAGGCTTTGGTGAGGGTCGTGAATTTGATAGTTAAGAATAAAGAGCAATAATAATTATATGACCGGCAGTTGAGAAAATAAACAACTGAAAGGTTTTTTCTAAAGAGATGATGAAAAGTTCATAAAATATAATATTATAAATTACAATAAAATATTTATAATAAAAATAAATAATTATAAATGACTCTATTATATATTTTTATTCAAAGATGTTTAAATTATAAAAAAATTTATTTAATTTATATCAAAAAATTTATTTATACTTTGAATTTATTATCAGTTTGTCGATATTAAAACCTTGTTATATATAAGGTTTACTTGATATAAGTGATAGAAAATAAAAAACTTATATTATAAATCACTTATATTTGGATTATAATGATATTATAAAAGTCGGTGATTTAGCTATTAATTATAAAAGAGTTCCTTATCGCTATAATTAGAAACCTAGGAATCCTAGAACAAATATTCTAGATAATTATAATAGAATAAAACAAATATTTTATTCTATAAAATAGATTAAGATAATGATTATTTTAAGATAGTTATTTTAGAACAATTATATTAGAATATCAATTATCCTAAAGGAGGGATTATTCTAAAGTAATTACAACAGGGTAGGATCGTTAAGATTAGTTTATTAAGATGAAGATTATATAATAGAGCTTTTAAAAATATAAACTCTTTTAGAATTTTTGAAGTTCTTAGAAGTGTAGGCTTTTCAAAGCTTTCAAAAGGGATTAATATATAATCAGAATAGTTTCATAATTTAAAAATTTTATACTCAATTTAATTATCAATTAGTTTATTTATATTCTATTTGATTTAGTAACGAATTCATTTTCAAATAAATAACCGGTGATTAATAGCCTTAACCTACAACTAACAACTTGTCACGAAATCATTTTATAGAATGTCACAAGGTAACAGTCAACCTGTCTCTATAAGCTTTGACCTTGTTGAAAAGCAAAGCAATTTGTATACAAATTTGTATAACAATCATTTCGTATAATTTCTTTATTTTTAACAAGTTTGGATATATAATCTGATCTTAGTTATATAATAAAGCCTTCAGAAATATAGGCTCCTATAAACTCTTTAAAGTTTTTAGAAATATAAGTTTTTGAAAGCTTCCAAAATGGATTAATATATAATCAGAATAATTTCATAATTTAGAAGCTTTATATTCAATTTAATTATCAATTAGTTTATTTATATTTTAATTGATTTAATAATATATTTATTTTCGAATAAATAATTAATGATTATTAGTTTTAATCTACAATTATCAATTATACAAAATCTGAAACAATTACTATTTTGATCAAATCGTTATACTTTAAGTATCGTTATGGTTAAGTTATATATAGTACAATAGTCTTCAACTAGCAATTTATTGAATCATCTTTATTCAATCTAATCGGAGTCTTTGTTTAGATCATTATTATTATAGAATACAAATAAACGATTCAAATATCCATTTTTAATCTATTCTATAGAGATTGTAACAAATATTGAGCTTTTGTTATACAAATTGATCTTTATTATATCTTTAACAAATAATTTTTCTTGATTTTTATATAAAAGATTTTATAATTGATCTTCTTTTTTTATAAAATTATATTTAATTGAATTAAACTATTTTTCAATAACTTAATAATCAAGATTATCGATGATTAATTGAATAAAAATATAAAATCTGAAATTTATTATTTCTTTTTTAACTATAAATCATTTAAATAAGGATTCGATAGAGTATTCAGAGAAATAAATCCCGATTATATAACTAAAAAAGTATTGTAACAACTCAAACAAATTAGATCAATCATAATCTATATTACCAAATTTCAATAATACATTAAATGTATTATATAGAATAATGATTATCTAAAATTATAATTCTATAAAAAATTGAAAGATATTATCAAAAACAAGTTAACAAGAACTCCGAAATCATTTAACCTTTCCAAATTAATCGAAATATCTATTCTCATTAATAATCGATTCTATAAACGATAAATAAAGAAGATAAAAATCATCTAGGAAAACAAAAAGTTTCAAAAACCTTATTATCAGAATAGATATTATAATATTAACAATCTAATAAAATTAAATAATATCGAATAATATTATATAAAATTAAACAATCTAAATATTGATAAGAAAAAGAAATATAAAGAAAATAATTTATATTATATCTATAAGAAAAACAGATATATATCCCAAGATTATTCTCAAAAAAAGAAACCATTCATTACAAAAAACAAGAAACAAATAAAATTTGGAAATAAAAGATAAGATTCTCGAAAAGCGGGGATTTTAAAAGGAAATTTGAGGGAAATAGAATTATTGGAAAAAGATTTATTTCAATCCAATCCTAAACAACTAAAGAAATTAAATATCGATAATTAAAACCTTAAAACTAATACTAAAAATAATATTGAATACAAAAAAGAACTTTCAAAAGACCTCGAATTAGAAAATAAAGAATTCAAAAAGAATCAATGAATAATTGAATCCTATTATTTACCTCAAAAAAATGAGTTATGGTATTTAATCAATTATCTAAATAAGAAATAGATATAATATTATTATAAAAAAAAGAAATCTGATTTTATTAAGAAATATAGAATTTATAATTATCTCATCTTATTAATACTCTATACAATAATATATAATGATATTTATTGTATAATATTTCAGAAAAATATTAAAATAAACAATATTAAAAGATATATTGTGGATATAAATTCTTTATCCTTTAATGAAATATAGAAATATAATGAATACAATCTGAAAGTTGGAGAGGTATAAAAAATCCTATTACAAGTCAGGATTCGATGTATCTGATGAAGGATCGATAGAGATAACAGAGAAGTATCAAATCATAATTATTATCAAGATTTTCAAATAAAACCAATAGGATTATTGTTCATTATATTTTATCGATTATTGAATAAAAACGAATATTAATATAAATAATTGAATCTCTTTATCAAAGAATAAATCATCGAAACATTATCATTAAAATTCAATAATATTACAAAAATCGGACAATTGATTATAAAAATCAAATTAAAGAATCAATAAACTAATACCTTGATTGATTCCGAAATTATAAATATATTCATAAATCCCAACTTTACAAAAAAAAATAGTATTCTTATAGAATTAAAACAGGATTCTTACCAATTGATATTATTAGAAGAAAAGAAAGTTAGAATTGATAATTAGGTATACAAAGAAATCAATGTTATCAAAATAATTATGTTAGATAGATATACCGAACAAATCAAAATAGATTTAATATTATTAAGCAAATATACAATTGTCTTTGATATTTTATAGATTAAAAAATATAATTCAAATATCGATTAAATAAAAGATATCTTAATATTCGATTGTTATAATTACAATAACAAATGATTATATAATCTAAAGGAATAAATTTTTTAAATGACCGGATATCATATTATAATAATAATAGATCTTCTATTGATCGATAGAATCGATGAAAAAGAAATTTCAATATAATACAAAAGATTTGCTAAATTCTTCGAAGATCTTTAAGATTTGAGGGTTTTATCAGAATATAAACTTTAGAATTATAAAATCAATTTCAAAGAAGGATTTGTATCCCTTATTGAAAAGTTGAGATTATATAACTTTAATATTATATAAATATAAAAAGAATATAAAACTAAAACCAAAAAGAAAGAATAAATTAGGAAATCCAAATCCTTTTATATATTCAATATATTATTAATATTCAAAAAAAACAATCCAGATGATCAGTTTTACAAAGATTACTACTAGATTAATGATGAAATAATCAGAAATATATATCTAATACCGAAAATTTAAAAGTTCAGGGATAAATTGAATAAAGCAATAATCTATATAAAATTGGATTAAAAAAATGTTTTTAATCTGATACAAATAAAAAAGAATCATAAATAAAAGATAATCTTTATATTATTATTAGGTTTATAGAAATATATAATCATACTATTTAATTTAATCAATATACTAACTATATATCAACAACAAAACAATAAGATATTCAAAGAGTTCAATTCATTTGTAATTTATTATTTGAATAATATCCTAATCTTCTTTTAAAAAGAAAAGGAATATAAAGAATATATATTGAAAGTATTTGAAATATTCAGAAAAATAGATTCAAGATTCAAATTATCGAAATATAAATTTAAAATACAAAAAATAATATTCCTAAAATATATTATTCAATTAGAACAAATGAGTATAAATTCTAAAAAAACAAAAAAGATAAAAAATTAGAAACGATTTAAGAATATTAAGGATATATAATCTATATTAGAATTTGTTAATTTCTATCGAATATTCATAAAAGACTTCTCGAAAATGATAGAATTTTTTATTGAAATAATCAAAAAAGGAATAACTTTTATATAGAACAAAAGAACAAAACAGATTTTCTAAGAAATCAAGAACAGATTTATAAAAGAATTTATTTTTTACAATTATTATAATAATCAAGAAAACATTATCGAAATAGATACCTTTAATACTTATATAATAGGAATCTATTTACAAAAAGATGATAATAAGAAATTATATCTTATCATCTACTATTTAAATAAAATAAACAAAACAAAACAAAATTACAATATTTATAAAAAAGAATTTATAATTATTATAAAAATATTGAAACATTGAAGAATCTATTTTCAAAAAGTTAAATTCTTAATAATCATTTATATTAATTATATAAATCTTCGAACCTTTATTATTATTAAGATTTTGAATAATTATAGATTAATTAGATAGATTAAGAAATTAATAGGATTTGATTTGATAATCAAATATATCAAAGGAAAAGATAATACTAAAATAAATACTTTGAACAAACCATCAGGTTACGAAAACAATAAAATCTATCAGAAAATAACAATCTTGAAATCCTTACCAAATAAAGATCTTATCCCTAACCTAATAGAAATCGTTATTATAGAAAATAAACTAACAAAAATTTGAAAAAATAAATTTATAAAAATATAATAAAATAAAAAAGATATCAAATAATCGGAATTATTAATAACTATTAATAAATTACTTTGAATAGAAAACAAAATATAATTACCAAATAATATTACCTCTGAATATATTACAGAACAATATATATTATTAACTTATAGATATCAAGAAATACAAAAAATGTATCTAAGAATCAAAAGGTAATATTGAAGTTTGGGATTCTGTAATATAATCAATAAAGTAATTATCGAATATAATATCTATATTAGAAATAAAACTTTCTGTTATACTTTTTATAAACAAATGAATATTACCGAAATACTATCTATACTATAGAAATCAATATTATAGGATTTCATAAATCCATTATCAAAATTCAAGGATTCAACAATAAAAATGATATATAATTATTTTTTCATTATTATAAATAGATTAACGAAATACCTGATACTTATATTATACTAGATAACACTAATTACAAAAATACTAACCTTTATATTCCTGAAAAAGATCATTACAATATATGAATTACTAAAAAAAATACTTTTTGATAAAAATAAACTTTTTATATTGAAATTTTGGATTGTTTTAATAGTATTGTTAATAGTAAAAAGAAAAATGTTTATTATATTCTATTTACAAATTAATAAAGAAAATAAGAAAATAAATCAAATTGTTGAAACTTATTTCTGATATTATATAAATTATTAATAGAATAATTGAATAGAACTTTTATCTTTAATATAATTTGTATACAACAATTCAATATCAGAAACAATACAAATCATTCCGAATTATACCAATTATAAATACAAACTAATTGTATATTACAAACTAGAGATTATAAAGATAAAGAATCAATCTATAATAATATAAATAAAAAAATTCAAAGAAGTTTATAAAGAAATGATAATAAAATTGAAATTCATTATTAAAAGAAATATATACTATTATAATCGGAAATATAATCAAAAATCAATATTAAAAAAAAAGAATAAAATCTATTTACTTCGAAAAAACATCGAAACAAAAAGATCTAATACAAAATTGAATCATAAAAAACTTGGATTATTCGAAATCAAGAAAATTAAAGGATTTTTGAATTATAAATTAGTATTACCAAAAAGTATAAATATATATCCAATATTCTATATATCCCTACTCGAATTAGTATCTTTAAGAATACCTAAAATTCCTGAAATAGAAATTATATTTATAAACCAAGATACCAAATACAAAATGGAAAAGATATTAAATTATAAATATATTAAAGGTAAGATCAAATACTTAATGAAATAGAAAGATTACCCCAACTCCGAAAATATATAGGAATTTGAAAAAGAAATTAAATATTTAAAAAAGTATTAAAAGTTTCGTTAATAAAATCTGGATTTACCCAAAAGGAAAGAGAATTTATTATTTCCTACAAAAAAGAATCGAAAGAATCGAATTTGTTTGTAGGAATTTCGTTGAGATTAATAGAATTAATTAATAATTGATCAAATTGATCAAATTGATCAAATTGACCAAATTGACCAAATTGACCAGAAAAATCGGAATTAACAATAAGCATTGAGGATATAACAATTTCCTTTTTTTCTTTTCTTTCCTTCTCTTCCAAAACATTCAATTCATCAAAATATTTGAGATCTTATTTAATTATCTTTTTATAACAATTTTGTAAATAATCTTATTGTTTTTGGAAACAAAGAATTTTAGTTATAACTTTTTCTTTTTTTTTACAAAGTTTTTCCTTTTGTTTATTTAAAGATTTCTAATCATTTATTTAAAGAATTTTCTTATTTCAATCATTTTCTAAATGTTGTTTTGTATTGTAAGGGATACAAGATTGTATATATTCGGAATAATAAATCTTTTACAAATTATTCAGAATTTTTATACAACGAAGATTCTTTGTACGATAATAGATATACAAAATCATTTCGATATTAGAATTCTCGATTTCAATTATAAGATAAGATTTCTCTTTATTTTTTCAATGAATTTTGTTAGATTGTAAATTATTTATAATAATAAAAAGAATCGAAATATAAAACGATAAAAAACTAATAGGTTATATATTGATTATAAATGATCAGGGATAATACTTAATTAAGAAAGGGATAGTATTACAAAATCATTTTATAGAATATTACAAGGTAACAATCAATTTATCTTTATAAGCTTTAACCTTGTTGAAAAGCAAAACAATTTGTATACAAATTTGTATAACAATCGTTTTGTATAATCTCTTTACCTTTAATAAACTCGGATATATAATCTAATCCTAATTATATAATAAAGCCTTCAAAAGCATAGATTTTTATAAGTTTCTTGAAGTTTTTAAAAGTATAGGCTTTTGAAAACTCTTAAAATGGATTAATATATAATCAGAATAGTTTTATAATTTAAAAACTTTGTATTCAACTTAATTATTAATTAGTTTATCTATATTCCAATTGATTTAGTAATATATTCATTTTCGAATAGATAACCAATGATTATTAACCTTAACCTACAACTACCAACCATATGAAACCTGAGGCAGCCGCTGCCTCGACCAGATCGTTACACAACTATACAAACCTCAGGCAGCCGCTGCCTCGACCAGATCATTACAACTTGTTTAAGTGAGTCGCGATTTTGATAATCTGATTGGTCTAAAATACCCCAGTAAATAATCTAACAAAAAGCTTGATATAAGCTTTACAACCTCAGATAAATATGATTTAGAACTTTTTTCAACTCTATTGAATGATTTCAATTTTAAAATCATTTAATTTTATTAAATTTATTCAATTCAACTCTATTTATTCAATTCAAAATAATAATAATAATAATATTATTATTATAAATATTATAATTATTATTTTTAAATAAAAAAATTTAATTTTCAATTATCAAAAACAAATTGATATTCTACTTGTACTTTAATATATATTCAATATTTAAATTTATTATAAACTTTTTAAAACTTAAATTTTTATTAAACTTTTTTGAAAAGCCAGGGGTCTAAGGGCCGCAGGCCCCTAGTTGAGTTGAATGATTTTAATTGAATTAAATAATTTCAATAGAATTGAGTTGAAAAAATTTCTAAATTAGATTCATTTAAAATTGTAAGATTTATATCAAGTTTTTAATTAGATTATTTACTAGAGTATTATAACGATCTGGTCGAGGTAGCGGCTGTCTGAGGTTTTGTATGATTGGTAGTTATAGATTAAGATTATTAATTATTAATTATTCATTTGAAAATGAATTCGTTACTAAATCAATTAAAATGTAGATAAATTAATTGATAACTAAGTTAAATATAAAGCTTTTAAATTATAAAATTATTTTGATTATATATTAATGAATGAAAAGAAGCTTTATAAAATCCAAAAGCTTCAAAAAGCTTCTAGAGTTTTAAAAATTTTCCAAGCTTTTAGAGCTTCTTATCATATAATTGATCTTAAAACCTTTTCTTTTTTAAAATATTTATCCCAAAAGCTTTTCTTTAGAAATTATAGTTCTAAGATACGATATCCTTTAAAATAATTGTTTTATTATAATTAATTAATTAGAACATTTATTCTATTCTAATATAATTATCTAAGATATTTATCCTAGGAATCCTGGGGTCTTATTCGTAGGTGATTAAGCCCTTTGAAAGCAACGGTTAAATCACACCCCCTCTGTAGTCGGTATATGAATCACCGATATCAATAATAATACTATAATCTAAACCGTGAATCGTGACACTCACCTGTATATTACGTTTAGCCACATCCCGTTTTCGTTGCCACCCCCGCATTTCACTAACAAACAAAGTAGACAACAAGACAATAAACAATAAACAATTAACAAAAAACAATCACTTATCAAATTATCAAATCAACAAATGAAAACATCAGACATTAGATATCACAACAGACATCAGATATCAAATATCAATCATCAGTCATCAATCATCAATCATCAATCATCAGTCATTCAACCAATTATTATATCATTTCAGCCTTGTAATCTACCAGGTTATATGTTATGACTATAACTACTAGTGAAAGTCACACCAATAAAAGGCAATACCTAACGGTAGGTAAATCTTAGATATCATTTGTTTGTTCCCCCTTTTAACCCTCATACTTATCACATCATTAGAACAATAACCAATTTTGCCTTTTACAACGAGACTTTTACAACAAACTTTGAATTTTGAGGTGGCCTGGAATTCTAGATCTAATCGATTGACTTTGCGAAGAAGAAGAAAGGAAGAAGAATAGGCATAATTTTGATCATCACAGATACAGATAGGAATCTAGAAGCATTGGAACGGTGGGAATGACAGGCGAGATCGAGATCCAATTATAGAATCCCTCTTTATATTGATCAAGTCGATTCTTCCTTCAAAAATCCAGGAACGATGTCTGATAAGGATCCGAACAAGGGAATTCTTGACCTCCCTTTGGAGGTTCAATCAGTTATATTGAAACATGTAAGTCAGGATGGCTTCGACAACTTTTCACCATGTCATCTTTGCGCTGCAGTGACATCCTAACACGTCTTTTATTCTAGACGTCGACCGCCGACCTGATTGCGCTCTCTCTCGTTTCGAAGCATCTCAGAAATCTAGCAGCCAAGGAACTATATCGAAGCTTCCATATTGTCTTTCCAGATGACAATGATGCGCTCAATGATTCTCCTATCGATAGTTTGGCGTCGGGGCTGGATACTTTCGTTACAAGTGATTACGATTACTCCCAACACCTAAAGGAAATTATACTTGAGCCTTTGAATGGAAGTCAAAAAGGAGAGCTAGCATACCGTTCTTATCTACATGATACCTCTTGCGGAAAATTCATGAATACTTTGTTGCTTTTGACTTTGCGCAAAGCTAAAGCTCTCGAGAGTTTCGTGTTGGTTGACCCTGCTAACAACGTGTGACCGTGCTAATTTCTGATTCTTAGATGGGATATTCGTGTGAAATTGAGTAGCCAGATTTTCACAGAATTACATCGTATTGAAGCTCTACAACATTTCCACGTCAGAATGCAAGCTGAAAGTTCAATACATGTTCCTGCAACTAACCCAAATCCAACCTCCTCGACGAACTACAATCCTTCAACATTCGGTTTTCCTCCAAGCTTGGTATCAAGCCAGTCATCACTCACATCAACTAAGGCAAAACAAAATGGAGGCAAAGGTCGGACTCCGGTTGTGGGTGGGACATCTCAAACTATTTCAGGATTCAAAAACCTAAAGAGTCTGGCTGTTCTTGATATGGATACCTTGGATTGTCTATCTGAAATTCGAGACTGTATACAGAACTCATCGTCAACTCTAACTTCACTAGAATTGTCATTCTCGGAGCTACTTGCTTCCAGAACCAGAAAGCCAGCTGTGGAAATTCCAGTCGAGGATGATGAATCTGAAGCGGAAGATGAATTTGGCCAATTGACTGCACTTCCTGTCACCGCTCCAGATACTCTATCTGATGCGTTTGTTTTAAAAGGGATGACGATTACGGAGGAAAGGAAAGCACAAGAAGCAGCGTTGGCAAAGATCCTTAGTACTGAATCGTCAACTTCGAAAGGCGTTACGGATTCTCCTAGTCAAAATTCAGATGACCCAGAAGGTGGACCTCCGGAAAAGACAGAAATGTCCAGTCCCTTGAAGATGTTTGTAGCGTTAATGCAACAATCGGCGAAGGCCATGGCTGAACATAAATTCGAGGAGATGCAAAAAATCGTCCAGGAAACCATCGAGAAAGGTTCCCAGGTTTACCTCAAGAGCCTGAAAAGAGAAAGTGAATCTTCTGATAAGCCAGGCACCACCACTAATACGGAAGGTAACAGTGGTGAAAGTAGTAATGTGGGATCCGGCAATACAGGTGACAATAATGCGGAAGAGATCAATGGGAAGAATTCCGAATCACCAGTTGTGGCCGACCCAATAGACGAAACTGTCACGGACGAGGGCGAATCTCAAGATCAACCCGGTCTTTTTGACGAATCAACAACAGTGAAAAAAGTTTCCAAATCCAAGGATATCGTAGATCCAGATGACATCGATATTGAAGAACCGGAGCTTGTGGTAGATTTGGAATGTGTTGAAGGGATCACTACTGAAACCGAGACGGATCTCGAGCCAGTCCCCATGGAAATGCAGGAACATCAAGCCTCGGAAGTAGTTGATGAGCTAATTGATTCAGAACATATGAATGCTCGAGGAATTTCTACTGAGAAGCGTGAACAAACTCCAGAGCAGATTAAGCCAAACGAGAAGGGAAAGTCAACAGAAATTGGACCACCAGTTACCAACACCAACAAGGACATGAGCGAGTACATTCGAAAAACACGAGGTCTTGCCCTTGAGAATTTATCACTCTACCTAATACCTATAAAAAGTTCTGTTTTATCAAAGGCTATTGACATCAGAGTATTGAGAAAAATTACCCTACTCAATGTTGGCTTTCAAACTTCATTTTGGTCTATGGTAGCACGCGAAAACAGGATCGATTCTCTTCCGCTAGATGAAATCTACACAGATAACGTCACCATGACTTTCCTAGACTGCATCGGAAAACTCGCAAAAGTAACAGAGCTATGTATGCTTGAACGCGCATCCAGAACAAAGCTAGACCCCACAGATTCAAAGAAAAGAGTCTCCATAGAGCAAATCCGAAGATTGGCTCTCAAGAAACATGCCCCGACATTAAAAGTCCTCTCTATACATCAGGAAAGCATTCCTCACCAATTAACACCTTTTGCATGGGACTTAGATGCCAAAACTGCTGTGCTGTTGTGTCGGAAAGCTAAAGGATTGGAGGAATTGGCTGCTACTTTTGATGTTTCAGTTATGGTATGTTTATTCCTAACCTCACAGTTAAACATTCAAAGTCATATACTAACCCTGAGATTAGCACATTCTTAATCAGAATCTCTCGGGCCTCAAAAATCTCCGGGCTCTCCACGCAATCGAATTCCGTTCTGAAGATACCTGCCAATTGGTGAGGAGCGAGTTCCGAAAATTTACCGTAGACAGTATCGCCCATAATCCCGACTGTGAACTCGAATATCTTGCCCTTAGAAATTCGATAACCCGTATTTATCGTCGCATTAAAGAAAATTCTCCGAAAGCAAGACTACCAAGGGCTCACTTGGGAAAGAAGACTGAACCTGCAATTGATAGCGACAGTGAGGATGAGGGCATGACTGGTAAGAGTGGATTTGGCTTGAAAGTTGAGAGTTGTGATGGATTTGAGTTTCAGGATGTGCAGGATGTGAGGATTTTTGAAAAGGATGTTGTTTGGAAGAGGCTTTAGGTTGGGATTGAGATAAGGAGAAGGGTAAGGGTGATGGGAATGAGAATGAGAATGGGAGATGCTAGTGGGCATGATGGATGCATCTGGCTGGGGAGTAAATCATCAGTTTGGTAGTATTTTAGTCCTTGAGGTCTGGCTTGGCTTGGCTTGCGCGAGCGTGGCGTATAGGATCTCAAAAGGTGTTCAGGGCGACTTGGTTCAAATGCAGGCATTAAGGAGGGTTAACGCACAGCGATGGGATGGGAATACGAATCGATTGATCTTGATGTTGGCTTATAGCGCGTCAATCAACAACCTGGACTTTAATCTAATAATGAAAGAAAGGGGTTTAATTCTCGACACTGGTGGATTGATGTGGAAATTGGAGTGATTCAATGAATAACGTGCTTGGAAGGGTATATGTGGGATGGCAGATTTATATGGAATATCCAATGAATGATTGCAGTGATTTTTAAAATCGAATATATGAAAGATTGAATTTGGTTTGGTCTGGTTTGTGAGACTAAATCATTCTATATCTTGGGTGATTGGTCATTTCATCCGGTTATGCAATGCAAATTTTGATTTCAGTTGAATGGAATAGGGATATGTAGGTTTTGCTTGTTGTGCATTATTCTATTATGTCGACAGGTAGTAGATACTTGAGGAGTTGTATGAGTGGGAGGAGGTAAGAGGCCATGGGTATCTATGGAGGTGAGGTCAATAGGGATGGGAAAATTGAAGTAAAATACTAAATAGAGGAAGAAATTATATTATTATAATTGTAGGGGAACACTTTATCATATAAGCTCAATTTTAAACTCTCCAGAGCTATCATCATGAAGCTGCCTTGGGAGAATATTTTAGTGGTGTAAAAGTTGGATGATATTTTCCAAAAATTATTCTGAGGATATAAGTCTAGTACTCTACTTTTGGACCACCCCTAATGTGAACCACCTTTTTACACCAAAAATCGTCATTTTAAACTATTAATAATACAACAATGAATGAATAGAATCAATTGAAATTTTAATTATAGATTGATTTACTATATAATTATTGATGGATTTTGAAATTTTCAGATTTTTTATGATTTTATTAATTAAGAAATTGAAAATTGAAATTATGATTTTCAATTTATATTGGATTTATATATAAATTTTAAAATATTGAAAATCTTGAATAATTTTTCAACAAAAATTGTTAAAAATAAACTATAATTTTTTTTTGAGAATTTTTAAATTAAATATTATTATCAGCTTGTCGATATTATAATTTTGTTGTATATAAGGTTTATTCAATATAAGTTATAAAAGATAAGAAACTTGTTTAAGTGAATCGCGATCCTGATAATCTGATTGGTCTAAAATACCCCGGTAAATAATCTAACAAAAAGCTTGACATAAGCCTTACAATCTTAGGTAAATCTGACTTGAAACTTTTTTCAACTCTATTGAAATCATTCAATTCAACTCTATTTATTTAATTTAATTTATAATAATAATAATAATAATAATAATTTTAATTTTAATTAATAATTATTCTTTTAAATAAAAATTTTTATTTTCAATTATCAAAACAAGTCAATATTCTGTCTGTACCTTAATATATATTTAATATTTAAATTTATTATAAATTTTTTAAACCTTAAATTTTCATTAAACTTTCTCGAAAAGCCAGGGGTCCGGGGGCGCAGGCCCCTGGTATAATAAATCAACATTTTGAATTTTAAATAATATAAATAAATCTTTATTAATATTTTTAGATTTTACAAAAATTAAAAATTATAACATTTTGATTAAAAGGATTTTTGTAAAATATTTTTTAAAATAAATTGATCTATTTAATTATTTATAATATAAATATTTGAAAAAAATATATAATTTATTTTTAATTATTTTTGTTGAAAAATTATTCAAGATTTTTGGTGTAAAAAGGTAGTCTATATTAGGGGTAGTCCAAAAAGGGGGTACTAGACTTGATATCGATAGCTAGCTTAGGTATTCAATACTTTGATTCAAGAATAGCCCGGGCTAAATGGATAATTGGATATGTCTAATATTATATGACTGTTATTCTATTTATTCGAGAATGCGGTAGCAACTTCGCCTCGGAGTATAATTATGAATTATCTTGAAAAGAGCGATTTGTCTAGAATATCGCTGTAGATACATTTATCAGCCTTCTTTGAAAGGCTTGCACGATACAGCATTCGATATGAGTCTCAAGACAGGACGAAACGCGAAGTAATGGCACAAAGATGCAATTATGCGAAGAATAAAGATTTGAAATGAGTATAAAGGGAATTTATAATTTATGAAGTAGAACCAAGGAGCGGATATCAATTTGAGAGACAGTGGAAAGTAAATGAAGAGTCCGGAGGAAATCCCACTAGAATAATTTGGAAATTTGGCATTACTTCTGAATCGAATAAAAATGAAGTTTTCAATCTTTCAGAATAACTTTTCCACAGAAAACCGTTCAGATACGACATAAGTGCTTATACATGAGGTGTGTAATAATCTGTTCAAATATCGAGTGTATTGGATGATCTATGGAATTAGAAAGCAGGAACCTCTCGTTGCTGGATAATACTACATTAAATTTAATATTTTCAACCCATTACAGGCTCTTATTAGCCAAAAGAGAATGAAGATAAACATCGAATTATATAATAGATATGCAACAAAGCCCAGAGTATTACAAATACAATATTCATTCGATGATATTTATTAAGTAAAGTTGCGAGAATTTTGAGACTTGCAACAAAACTTTTTGTTTTGGACCCATCGAAAATGACGAGTCCACTCGAGTGATTCCACTGAAGAGAAGATCATGGCTTGTGGTGGGATTGTGGTAAAATCTAGTCTCTCCTAGTCGGAGGACTGAAAGCTGGCTAGGCAGCTTAGGTACCAATATTAATCCCCATCAATATGTTTAGCCCTTGTTATCACTTCTGAGGAAGAGCTTCTTAATTGATCAAGATCATTGTTCTTGAAGCTTCGACGAAGTAATTCCTTGCGTTGGAAAGAGCTGGATCCATCATCTGTTGTGAAAAGTTTCCGGCCAAAATGCCTTTCTTTTCTTTCTTAGTTCCGAATGTATAAGTTTGTGTTCGAAGTAACAGATAAAGATAACACAGGAATTGAAACGCGCGATGGAAGGTTTGCATACTAAGAGTAGCATAAAGGAACATAAAAATCCCACATCTCTTTCTCATACACCGCAACTTCTACGCAACCTATCAACCCAAATGAAAATGGTGCCCTCAAAACATTCTCCCACTCCATGCTCTGGGAGTTTGCGTTCGTATACTGAGTCTGACAACGATGGTCAGGAAGTCGTACGGGTCAGGACCTCTTGCGATGACGCAAGATATTGTGATAAAAAACTATCCGCACCCTGTAGCATTTCCTTCGACATTGGACCAGCCTATTACCCACGATTTCTCCAAAAGAAATCTTGGGAGATTGAATCACCCGAGGAATCAGAATCTGGATCTACACATGAACCTTCTAACATATCTCCAATCGTATCTCCACTCGTATCGCCACTCACATCTTCAGCTGAATCCATGACTTGCACCGTGTCTAATCAAGGCCCATCACAGAGAGACGACGAGTCGATAACAGAAATAGATGAAGCAACTCAACGTAAATCCGACCTCCGAGAACAACTCGAGATGGAAAGAGCCAAAAGCTCCGCTTTGAAAAAGGAAAGAGATGACGCAGTTCTATGCGCAACGGATCTAAAGACGAAATTTGACATAGTGGAGAAGGAGAAAGACGACGCGGAAAAGCAACTTTGTAAAACACGTCAGGAGATCTCAATGTTGGAGAAGCGACGGAATGGAATATTTTGGGGGGAGAAATCAGCTTTGGTTCAGGCTGAGAGAGATCAAGCTATTACGCGCGAATCGGACAGTTTGGAATTGAAGCAAAAAGCGGAGAAGGAAAGGGATGATGCGTTGGAGCTTGTGACGCGGGTCTACGAATTTCAGAAGGAAACGCTGGAGGAAAGGAACGAAGCTCGTAGAATTGCATTGAAGAGATTGAAGGAGACGGAGCAGGCGGAGAAGGAGAGAGATGAGGCGCAGCGACTTGCAGCTGAGAGTTCAAAACAGACGAAGCAAGCGCAGAAACTGGAAAATGAAGCAGAAGTACGAGTAGGAAAATTACTGTGGGAAAAATTACTAAGAGAGGGGATGCAGAAGGAAAGAGATGAAGCCCGTCGGCATTTGAAAGAAGCGGAACAAAGATGTTACCGATGGAAGCGGGAGTTAGACCTACTACGCGAGGAGATAGAGGAGATGAAGGGGGAGAATAAGAAAAGAGGATGGCACCGGACTTCTTTTCTTGGTGCGTTGTTTGACTGAGATGTTTTAGGGCCCGCTTTGCTCGCATCTTCGGGCATTTGCGTTGCGAGAGCCGCATATTTATCATTTGTCGATTCCCATCTCCTCAGGCCTTTTTAGATAGGTAGATTATACCAGGACGAAGGCGAAAACTCTCAGAGGATGAATCGGACTATGGATATGAATTTTGGATAATGGATAGTCAATTCCTGGCTGAAATTGGAAGACATACATACCTCTCTCCTTCTCAAACTGCGAATTTTACAAATGTGTGTACTGAAATATTCTACCATGAATTGTTATCATTCCAATCATAACTTGTACATCTTACATTTTGATACCCTCTTAACCCATCCCAATGAATCTACAAACCAATGCAACACTCTACGAAACTTGTACAAATCCTCTCTTCTTCTTACTCGACCCATCGTCCTCCTCCCAAGTTTCCTCATCGACATAATCCTTACTTTTCATACCCTTGACTCTCTCTCCCACAATCTTCAAAGCCGCCACATTAAATCCCATCTCATTCTTTTGTCTTCTTAAGCTCTTCCTTAGATTTTCTCTAATACCATCTAACATAGTCCTCATGGACTTGCTTGCCACAATTTGTTTATGGTGTGTTTTTAACATGAAAAATAATATTCGGCATGTAAGGGGTATGTTCATTTCTTTTGTGGCGAATATATTTAAGAAAGTGAAAAGCATGGGGAGAGTGGAGAAAGGAAGAACGAGTAGCGCATCGTGGAGAGCTGCGGCTTTGATTTTCTGAAGAGTATTAAGAACGTATCTTTCGGTGCTGATGTTACCCAGAGCCATGAAGAGGAGATTGCGGGCTGGAGGAGCGGTGTTGGGATTACTGGCTTTGGCGGTCTCATATTCGGCCATAAGTTCCAGATCGACGGTACCAATTTCGAGGGCTTCAACAATCTTTTCTCCGGCCATGAGAGTTTCGACTGTTTGTTTTCCGGCGGCACCAACTTCATTATCATCACCCTCTTCATTCTTATCAGGGTTCAGGGACGTTGTTAGAGTCGACTCGTATAATTCTTCCAGTTCCTTCTCCTTTTCTTCCTCGAGGAATATCTGTTCGTCCGTTTGTTCCCACACTCGGATGCTCTTATCGTGACTTGCGCTGACAAAGAAGTCACCTGTTCGACTGACTGCCAAGGCCCAGATTTCACCGTGATGGCCATCTAATCTTTGGATCTGCTCGAATTTGTCGCCATCCCAGTATTTGATCATTTTGTCCTTACTGCTACTGAAGAAATGGTGTCCATTGCCGTCTTGGCTATGAGGAATAAACGCGACTTGTAATATACTGTCCTGATGCCCAAAGAATGCTTTGTGACAATCTCCGAAGTCAAGACCCCAGAGACGTATGTTTTTGTCGGCGGAGCAGGTGACGATGAGCTTGCTATCAAAGGAAATATCCATGCTAAGCACAGGTAACTTGTGACCATAAAGATTGAGGAAGAGCTTTAGAGAATCGACGAAGAACACTTTGACAGTATTGTCCAAAAGAGCCACAGCTAATAGACGTGCGTCTGGTGAAAATCTCAAGCTCAAAATATCATCCGATACTTTCAAGGTCCTGGTATGGACGAGCCGTAATTTTGGAGTCGTCCGTCTGGTTCCTGGAATTTCTTCTTGGAATACCTCAAAGTTCCAGAATTTCGCTGACTTATCTGCGCTCCCAGATACCACAGAACGACCATCTGGGTGGACATGTAAACTCCAAATGGCGCCCTCATGCGCTTTGATAGTCTCGAGCATAGCAGCTGAAGCTACATCAAATAATTCCAATTCACCTGATTTTGTTCCGACCACTACGATTTTGTCTCCTGGTAAAAATGCACAACATAGAGCATAACCACACTCGAAACTTCGTATGCAAGTTCTCGTGCGAACATTCCAGATTTTTAAACCGCCATTAGATGCTGATGCCAACATCCTGTCGTCCGAACTCAAAGCTAACGCTCGAATATCTGCTCTGTGACCTGGCATTTCCACTGATAGTGTTCTTGAATAATCTGGCATCTCTTCGCTCTTAGACTTTTTGCTCTTTTCCTTTGTGACTACTGTGTATACTTCTAACTGATTGTTCGTAGTCGCTATAAGCAATTGTATGGATTTGGTGCCTTTGATGCGTATCCAATCTGCCGATCGAACTCTGCCACCCGTTCTAACGATAACGTATGGGACAAAGAAATCTGTAATATCAGCTGTTGAAATATCTTCCGTCTTTTCGTCCGCTTCATCCACTTCCATAGCTGACTTATCAGTGGCGGCCATCTTTTCTCTCCTTCTCCTGCGCTTTCTTGCCAAGCCCTTCTTTACTTCCTCCTCCGATCGTATCCTCCATATTTCAACCGACTTTTCCGAACCATGAACCGAAAAGTAGTCTAAGCGTGGGTGAAAACTAATCTCCAGTGCTCTGTCTTTTCCTTGACGGTGTAATATTCCTCTGCCCTGTAAATATCGAGCTTCAACTGCGCCATTTACTTGTTTCGACAATTTGTATAGACCAGCTGTATCAATAGACCACACCTTCATTTCACCATCATTCCCTGCCGTGATACATCCGCTAACATCCGGTGAAGTACCTAAAGCCCAGCATTCTCCATTTGTTTGAGCGACATGAGTTTCAATACAGTGCTGAGATGTCATATCCCAGAGTTTGATGAGGGCGTCCTTGCCAGTGGTGAGGAGAAAACCTTCAAATGAACCAACATCCTCCGCCTGGGTTACTGCTTCATCTTCGCTAGATTCTTGTGGCGTCTCTGGTTGAATGAATTGGAGTCCAGTGATCTGATCTTTGTGTCCTCTCAACTTGAACAAGCCAACCTCGGCGACCAGATCCCATACAATAACATCGGTATCCCTCGAACCACTAGCTAATCGCGCCCCTGATTTGTCGAATGCCAGTGTAGTAATAGCCGATTTGTGACCATTGAAGCTGACTATAACAGTTGCAATTTTCGAGTCCCATAGTCGAATGCTACCGTCCTCGTATCCGACGGCGAAAATGTCTATATCCGTTTTACTCTGCGCAATGGCTGAGACTTGAGATTTGCAATCATTGTCCCTCCACCGACTCAAAAGCTCTCCCGTCTTGATTTCCCAACATAACACCTCCTCATTAGCGGCCACTATAGCTCTTCCCGAACCTGTATTTCGACTCGAGACGCCCGCTCCATCAGTTGACCAAACAACATTTGAAGTACTTGAATTGACAAGACCGAATGATTTCGAATGCTCGTATTTTCTAGAGTTAAGCAAATTAGTGATTGATATTCATTTCACATCATTTTGAAGACTTACAAGTAAGACTTGACCATATTTACAATCTGGCGCAAAAGTAAATAGTTCAAGAACTTTTTTTCTGAGCTATGCGATAAAATCGATAAAATTCTTAGTGCAGCCGATAAGCATGGGTTTTCGAGCTTGTAAAAGCAGCAGCCGAATGAGAGATGTTTTGCGCAAAAAATAGACGATATTTATGATGCCGCTTGAACTTAAGCTAAACCATCCGCCCCACGTCGTCAGCCCCCCGAACCTACAACACAACAGGTAGAGCAGTAGCTTGGATTCCACAGTATTGGAAACATCACACGAGGAATACAAGCCTTTCCTCCCACCACCACCAAAATGCTTCTTCTCGATTATCAAAATGTACTCATTCAATCCGTACTCACGGAAAGGTTCTCAGGGTTTGTATAAAACAGAATCCTTTATGCTGCTCAAACTTAGCTAATTCGAGCCAGAGCACCACCGGTGAACATCGACCAGACTGTAGCCGATTTCGATGGTGTTACTTTCCACATCTCCACCCCTGAATCGAAGACCAAGATACTCGTTTCAATACAAGTTAAATGCTATGATGAGCTTCTACGATACGGCGCTCAGCAAGTCCTTGAGCGGGAATACGGCCCATATGTTGTTGCGCCGGAAAGTGGTTACAATTTCTCGGTGCAGGTTGATTTGGAAAGTCTGCCAGAAGAGAAAGGTAAGAATTCCCGTAACCAATGGATGGCATATACTAAAAGCCTCTACCTATAGAAGCGCGAGATGATTTGATCAGACGCATATCTCTATTAAAACGAAATGCAATGGCTGCACCTTTCGAGCATGCCTTTGACGAATTCCATAAATTACAGGAGGAAGCATCGAAGTTCACATCCGAGGAAGCTCCCCAAGGTGTCCGGGAAGGTGGAGATGTTATGGCAATTCATTACCGAGATGAGGAAGCAATCTATATCAAGGCCAGCCACGACAGAGTCACGGTTATTTTCAGTACAGTATTCCGTGAGGAAACAGATAGAGTATTCGGAAGGGTTTTTATCCAAGAATTCGTAGATGCTCGAAGAAGAGCTATCCAAAACGCCCCTCAAGTGTTATTCAGAACCGACCCGCCATTAGAGCTTCAAGATGTTCCAGGAGTAAAAGACAATGGTAGTGGAGATATTGGCTATGTTACATTTGGTGAGCTCAATAATTTCGGTATTCCAAGCCTCATTATCAATTTGCTAATTCATACAGTTTTATTTCCACGTCACCTTACCCTCCAACGAAGAGATGAAGTTATTTCCCACATCCAAACATTCCGTGATTACTTCCATTACCATATTAAAGCCTCAAAGGTACCATCAAAAAACACAACCAATTCATGATCTAGTATTGACATATCCCAGGCATACATTCACTCGAGAATGCGTAGACGTACAGCGGACTTTTTGCAAGGTAAGCTCCATTCCGAGGCATAGATTTCACTTCAACTGACAAATAATAGTTCTTAGAAGAGCACGTCCAGAGAACGAAGAAAAGGAGAGAAAGACAGCCAGCGGACGGACTTTCAAGGTCCAAGGTTAAGGATAGAAGACAATTGGAAGTTTGGGCTAAGGCGAATATATGACACGAAAACTGAAATCGAGCGATACTGCATAATTACAAAACTTCCCAAGGCTTTTGCATTGTGAGTTGTATCGTCTTGCATACTTGTGACGTGATGTTCAATAGCTCCCGTTTTTCATTTGTATGCTAATTGCACTTCTCGACCTGGTTCAATCAAAAGTTATTATGAGCCTATATATGTATCATCATACCGACTTTATTGGAGATATGATGTAACTGAATCCATTGACTATTAACTATCAAGACCGCTCGCTCAGTCATTATCACGTGATGTCCCACTAGACCCAGCCTCGGTGTGGCGGGTGGCTTATAAAAGCTAAGTGCTGGCTATCAAAGCTACCCTTTTAGATTAGAAAATCAATACAAAATTATCCCAAAACACCAATGCGCATCACTACAACGCGCCACCATGTCCGACACCGATTTCGAGACGATCAGGAAGCTACAGGCTGAGAGGAATGCTGCCTCTGCTGGTAAGAAGGGATCGAAGACATTCGATCCGTCAAGTCAGCGAACTGATGTTTCCACCAAGGCCTCCCTAACAGAAAGCTTCGATACCAGTCTTTATGAGCGCGATGGCGTTGATAAATTCGCAGGTTACAACACTTCCATTGCGGTGACAGATGGTGACGATGATGAAATGGAAGGAGCTGATACCAGTCGGCGATTGGTAGGCCAGTATACAGCTTCCAAGGAACAAATGAACGAATTCGCGCATGGTAATGGGGTCGAGGAGGAAGATATTCTCTTGGGCAGAGAGAAAAGTGCACGAATCTCCGATCGCGAAACCGATTACCAGAAGCGTCGACACGACCGAGTTCTAACTCCCACCAGAGCTGATGGAAATGCCGAGAGCTACAGAGATGTTATGGCCAGGAGAGAACTCGAGCGTGAAGAAGAAAGGGTTAGGAAAGCCATTGAGGAGAAGAAGGCTAACGGCGAGGTTGTCCACCATACTGCAACGCTAATCAAGGAAGATGGTGGTGATAAGGAGAACGACGAAGCTGGCTCTACGGAAGCTGTCGCGAGCGGGCGCAAAAGAAAGAAGAGGTGGGATGTAGGCACCGAAGAAGACGCCAGTATGGCTCCACCATCAACGGAAGGCAAAACTAAACGTTCAAGATGGGATCAAACACCAGCAGTGGGAGGTGCCGCGGTTGATGAAACTCCTAAGAGAAGATCTAGATGGGATCAAGCACCTGCTGCCACTCCCATGGGCAATCAAGGATTAGTAACTCCAATGCATCCATCGCAAATGGGTGGACCAGCTATACCAACTACATTCGGGACTGATATCTCATCACGAAATGCACCACTTTCAGACGAGGAGCTGGACATGATGTTGCCATCTGAAGGCTACAAAATTCTAGAACCTCCGCCTGGTTACGCTCCAATTCGAACTATTGCACAAAAGGTCATGGCTACACCATTACCTGCGGGTGGATTCATGATGCAAGATCCAGATAGTGGAAGACAATTGGCAAAGCAGCTTCCAACAGAAATACCAGGCGTGGGAGACCTACAATTCTTCAAGGCGGAGGATATGGCATATTTTGGAAAGCTGACTGATGGTAGCGACGAAAACTCAATGAGTGTCGAAGAACTCAAGGAAAGAAAGATCATGAGACTTTTACTGAAGGTCAAGAATGGTACACCACCGATGCGAAAGACAGCTTTGCGTCAACTCACTGATAACGCCAGACAATTTGGTGCTGGACCTTTGTTCAATCAAATCCTTCCATTGCTTATGGAAAAGACGTTGGAAGACCAAGAGCGCCATTTGCTAGTCAAGGTTATTGACCGTATTCTCTACAAGCTTGATGACCTTGTCAGACCATATGTTCACAAGATTTTGGTCGTAATTGAACCATTGCTTATCGACCAAGATTACTATGCTCGAGTTGAAGGTCGAGAAATTATCTCTAATCTCAGTAAAGCAGCAGGGTTGGCTCACATGATCAGTACTATGCGACCAGATATTGATCATGTTGATGAATATGTCCGAAACACAACTGCGAGAGCCTTTGCTGTTGTTGCGTCTGCACTAGGCATCCCTGCACTTCTTCCTTTCCTACGAGCGGTTTGTAGGAGTAAGAAGTCATGGCAAGCAAGACATACTGGTGTTAAGATCGTTCAACAAATCCCTATCTTGATGGGTTGTGCCGTCCTCCCTCATCTGAAAGGGTTGGTTGACTGTATTGGTGGTAATCTTAATGACGATCAGACAAAAGTTCGAACTGTCACCAGTTTGGCGATTGCAGCTTTAGCAGAGGCAGCGAATCCCTATGGTATTGAAAGTTTCGATGATATTTTGAACCCCTTGTGGAGCGGATCAAGGTCAGTGTATTATTTTCTTCTTTTTTTCTTCTTTTTTTTTTCTCTACTCCTGACAACTATCTGGATATTCCCCCTGGATGCTCGACTATACTCACGACCCTGTCTGGATACTAACCCCTGTCTCAACGCCTTCCATTTGAGGATGCAACCACACCTTCCTCTACATGACTCCAAGATGGCACTTGTCGGATTGATCTTCTGGATTTCTTTTCACTCCCTTCTCTCTAATCCACTCATCGGCACCCTCTTCACAACTCATGAAATAACATTCTACAACATCTGCCAAACAATATACCCTGTTAAAACGGATTGTGGGATTAATTTCGAGCTTTTTTCTTACTGCTATACGTTGTTGAGTAAATTAGACCCTTCGGCACTCTTGTTTTAAGGAATCGATCATTAGTGATTGAACATTTGGTACTAAAAGAACTTGGGTTTCATCTATCTTGTAAGTAATCACTTTATACATGATTGATTATGCTAATAAGTTGAAGAGTATGGAGGCCTTACTTCTTAAGTTTATACTATCAGCTACTTGGCTTGTACTCAATACGACATCGTCGATCAATAAGGATACTATTTACGATCAGGTCTACAGCAGCAAAGACGTCTTTGAAGAAATCGCCTCTACTGTTTCTATTGCCTTTTCTACTTGCCTTTGGGAAATGTTTCAAGCTATTACTCCACCAACCATTGACACATTCAAGACTCTTCGTGCCCCAGTCAAGACTGATCGACTTTGGGCTATCTATCTTGTGGTGCTTAAGAAGCCTGGTTGTAAACCTAAGCTATACATTGGGAGTGGCACTGGTGCGAAGACTGAGGTTTGGAGACGAGTACAAGCTTACTAAGACGAGTACAAGCTTACTAAGACGAGTACAAGCTTACTATGGCGAGTATACCTTGCCTAGGTATGTTGCTACAGCTCTCAACCATGGCTTCAAGGTCACTCATGTCGGCTTGCTCTGCTGGATTGATATTCCACCCCTGCTCGTGTTCCTATCTTTCGTATGTTCTTCTTACTTCTTGAAGCTACATTTACCTACATTTTGTGGGCTATGAGAAGCGTTGAGAAAGATGCTAAAATAAGTTTTTGGTATCTTTGGGATCATACAACCTTAAAGTATAATGGATGCTGTAGGCACTATTGTTTATCAGAACCTATCATAGGTGATACAGCATTATCAGCAGAACAGCTTGAAGCTTTATCTATTGAGCGTAAAAAGAATCATAAAAAGGTCAACAAGGATTCTAGGACAAGAATCAGAAAAGCTAAGGTCTAGTATTGTGATATCTGTAAGATCTCTAAGGTATCACAGTATCGACTAGATCAGCACAATATTACGCCAGCACACATCAGTAAGGCAGCAGATATGACGTCCACTAAGAAACCTTACAAATGTTTTGTATGTAATGCTGCTTTCAAGATTGTCGGTCATCTTAATAGGCACAAAAAGAGTGTTAGGCACCAAGATGCCTAGTCGAGCCCCAAGCTCGATTAAAGGGACTTCCTAGGACTATCTTTTGGACCTCTTTTGGACTGGACTGGACTTCATTTCATACATCACTACTCGCCCCTTTGGACCGGACTGGACTCTCTCGGAATCAAACATTCGAAATACATTTTCCTTTCTTCTCGGATCAAACATTCGGAATACATCATACTGACTCATGAGTAGGAAACAACGTGGAAAGGGTCTCGCTGGTTTCTTGAAGGCTGTTGGATACATCATTCCTTTAATGGACGAAGAATATGCCAACTACTATACTGGCCAAATCATGGAGATCCTCCTAAGAGAATTTTCATCTCCTGATGAGGAAATGAAGAAAGTAGTGCTCAAGGTTGTTTCACAATGCGCTGGGACCGACGGAGTTACGGCAGGATACCTGAAAGAGAACGTATTAGATGAATTTTTCAAGAGTTTCTGGGTTCGGAGAATGGCTTTGGATAAGCGTAACTATAGACAGGTGGTTGAAACCACAGTTGATCTGGGACAAAAGGTCGGTGTTGGCGAAATTGTTGAGCGTATCGTCAACAACTTAAAGGATGAAAGCGAGGCGTACCGCAAGATGACTGTGGAGACGATTGAGAAGGTCATTGCTAGTCTTGGTGCTGCAGATATCGGTGAAAGGCTTGAAGAACGACTTATTGATGGTATCTTGCACTCTTTTCAGGAACAGAGTGTCGAGGATATTGTTATGTTAAATGGGTTCGGAACTGTGGTCAATGCTCTTGGTACGAGATGCAAGCCATACCTTCCCCAAATTGTCAGTACTATTTTATGGCGATTAAACAACAAATCCGCGACTGTCCGACAGCAAGCGGCGGACTTGATCTCTCGAATAGCAATGGTTATGAAGCAATGTGGTGAAGATGCTTTGATGGGCAAGCTAGGTGTTGTGCTTTACGAATACCTCGGTGAAGAATATCCCGAAGTTCTTGGATCCATCCTTGGCGCCTTGCGTTCTATTGTCACTGTGGTTGGTATCAACCAAATGCAACCTCCAATCAAGGACTTACTTCCTCGGCTTACACCAATTTTACGAAATCGACACGAGAAGGTACAAGAAAATACCATTGATTTGGTTGGTCGTATCGCTGATCGTGGGCCTGAAAGCGTTAATGCTAGAGAATGGATGAGAATCTGTTTCGAACTTTTAGATATGCTCAAGGCTCACAAGAAAGGTATTCGTCGCGCTGCCAATAACACTTTCGGTTTCATCGCCAAAGCCATTGGACCTCAGGATGTTCTCGCGACTCTCTTAAACAATCTTCGGGTTCAAGAACGTCAGTCTCGTGTCTGTACAGCTGTAGCAATTGGTATCGTTGCGGAAACTTGCGCGCCATTCACAGTCCTTCCAGCATTGATGAACGAATACCGTGTTCCCGAACTCAATGTTCAAAATGGTGTCCTCAAGTCACTTTCCTTCCTTTTTGAGTACATTGGTGAGATGGCCAAAGATTATGTCTATGCCATCACACCCTTACTTGAAGATGCATTGATTGATCGTGACCAAGTCCACAGACAGACTGCTGCCTCCGTTGTCAAGCACGTAGCATTGGGTGTGGTTGGTCTTGGTTGTGAAGATGCTATGCTTCATCTTCTCAACTTACTATACCCCAATCTTTTCGAGACGAGTCCTCACGTCATCGACCGCATTGTCGAAGCTATTGAAGCTATCAGGATGGCAATTGGACCAGGTCTGGTTCTCAACTATGTCTGGGCTGGGTTATTCCATCCAGCACGCAAAGTTAGGCAACGTAAGTCACTTTGAAATCCCATTGCCCATCTATAGAATTAGTACTAATTGTATCTCTAGCTTATTGGACGCTCTACAACAGCGCTTATGTATTATCGGCCGACGCTATCGTGCCTTACTACCCAAACATGGATGATGAGAAGATGGACAGGCCAGATCTGGCGATTGTGATATAAACAGGCATGCGAGGTTTTTACATGGAAGTTTGGGCATTTGCGCGTACGTGTGTATATTAATAATGATAGCGAGTACGAAATATCATGTTTACTTGTTTCATTCTAAGATGCTAATTTGGCAAAATCATGCGAAGTTCACAAAGGGAAATAGTGACTTGTCCCAGGACCCAGCAGAGTCGAAGGGGAATTTTTGTCATTTTTTAGACATGCAAAGATCTTGCACATTTGAAATTACACTGGGCAATTGAATGATCTCTTGGACATAAATATCTCTCCTCATGACACTCTTGGATGAAAGAACTTGACTTTGACAAAGAAAGATATCAAATCCTCCAGACTCACTTACGCCCCCTACGTTTAGACACTCCACTCCACTATCCATGAGTCCTTCGGGCAAACATTTGAAAATTTCATCGAACTCAACGAATTATGATCAATATATTAATATGGCATTCAATTAGCTTCAGAACAAGGGTTGTGTCACGATTCACGGTTTTGATTATAGTAGTATTATTGATGTCGGTGATTTACATGCCGACTACAAGGGGGGTGTGATTTAACCGTTGCTTTCGGGGGTCCTGATTACCTAAGCTTAGGACCCCAGGATTCCTAGGATAAGTATTCTAGACAATCATAATAGAATAGGACAAGTGTCCTATCTAATTGATTATAATAAGATTATCATTTTAAAGGATATTATATTCTAGAATTATAGTTTCTGAAAGGAAAGCTTCTGGGATAAATGTTTTAGGAAAGGAAAGGCCTTAGAATAGAAGAGACTTCAGGATCAATTATATAATAAAGTTTCGAAGAGTTTATGTTCCTAAAGGCTTCAAAAAGCCTATAGGAGTTTATACTTTTGGAGATTCCCGAAATGGATTAGTATATAATCAGAATAGTTTTATAATTTAAAAGCTTTGTATTCAATTTAGTTATCAATTAGTTTATTTATATTTCAATTAATTTAATAATATATTTACTTTTGAATAGATAATTAATAATTATTAATTTTAATTTACAATTATCAATTATACAAAATCTTAAATAGTTACTATTTCGATCAAATTGTTACATTTTGAGTATTATTACAATTAAACTATATATAATATAATAGTTTCCAATCAACAATTTATCGAATTGTTTTCATTCAATCTAATCAGGACTTTTGTTCAAATTGTTATCATTATAAAATACAAATAAACAATTCAGATATCCATCTCTAATCTATTTTATAAAAATCATAACAAATATCAAACTTTTATTATACAAATTGATCTTTATTATATCTTTAATAAACAACTTTTTTTAATTTTTATATAAAGGATTTTGTAATTGATCTTCTTTTTTCAAAAAACTATATTTAATTGAATCGAATTATTTTTCAATAATCTAATAATTAAAACTATCGATAATTAATTAAACAAAAATATAAAATCTAAAGCTTATTGTTTCTTCCTTAATTATGAATTGTTCAAATAGAGATTTGATAAAGTATTTAAAAAAATAGACTTCAATTATATAATTAAAAAAGCATTATAATAATTCAAACAAATCAAATCAATCACAATTTATACTATTAAGTTTCAATAATACATTGAATATATTATATAGAATAATAACTATCTAAAATTACAATTTTATAAAAGATTAAAAGATATCATCAAAAACAAATTAACGAAAGTTCCGAAATTATTTAATCTTTCTGAATTGATCGAAATCTTTATTCTTATTGATAATCGATTCTATAAACGATAAATGAAGAAAAAAGGAATTATTCAGAAAAGCAAAAAGTTTCAAAAATCTTATCATCAAAATAAACATTATAATACTGATAACCTAATAGAATTGAATAATATTGAACAATATTATATAAAACCAAATAATATAAATACTAATAAAAAAAAGAGATATAAAAAAAATAATTTATATTATATTTATAAGAAAAATGAATATATATTTTGAGATTATTCTCAAAAAAAAAAACTATTTATTACAAAGAATAAAAAACAAATGAAATTTGATAATAAAAAATATAATTCTCGAAAAGTAAGGATTTTAAAAGAAAATTTAAAGGAAATAGAATTATTAGAAAAAAATCTACTTCAATCTAATTCCAAATAATTAAAAGAATTAAATATCAACAATCAAAACCTTAAAACTAATACTAAGAATAATATCGATTACAAAAAAGAATCCTTAGAAAACCTCGAATCAAAAGACAAAAAACCAACCGAGGAACTTGAAAAGAATTAACAATCAATTGAATCCCATCATCTATCTCAGAAAAATAAATTATAATATCTAATCAGTTATCTAAATAAGAAATATATATAACACTATTATAAGAAAAAGAAACCTGATTTCATCAAGAAATATAAGATCTATAATCATTCCATTTTGTTAGTACTTTATACAATAGTTTACGATAATATTTATTATATAATATTCAAAGAAAATATTAAAACAAACAATATCAAAAGATATATTACAAATATAAATTCTTTATCTTTTAATAAAGTATAAAAATACAAGTATAATCTAGAAATTGAAGAAATATAAAAAATCCTATTACAAATCAGGATTTGTTATATCTAACAAAGAATCGATAAAGATAATAAAGAAACATCAAATCGAGATTATTATCAAGATTTTCAAATAAAACTAATAGAATTACTACTTATTATATCTTATTGATTATTGAATATAAACAAATACCAATAAAAATAATTGAATCTTCTTATTAAAAAAAAAATCATTGAAATATTATTATTAGAATTCAATAATATTATAAGAATCGAACAATTAATTATAAAAATCAAAATAGAAAATCAACAAATCAATATCTTGATTAACTTCAAAACTATAGATATATTTATAGATCTCAATTTCACTAAAGAAAATAGAATTCTTACAAAATTAAAACAAAACCCTTACTAATTGATACTTTTTTAAAAAAAAAAAGCTGGAATTGATAATTAAATATATAAAAAAACCAATACTATCAAGATAATTATATTAAATGAATATACCGAATAGATCAAAATAGATTTAATACTATTGGGCAGATATACAATTATCCTCGATACTTTATAAATTAAAAAATACAATCCAAATATCAATTAAATAAAAGATACTTTAATATTCGATCGTTATAATTATGATAACAAATGATTATATAGTCTAAAAGAATAGATTTCTGAGAAGATCAGATATTGTATTATAATAACAACGAATCCTTCATTGATCGATAAAATCAATAAAAAAGGAATTCTAATACAATATAGAAGATTCATCAAATTCTTCGAAGACCTACAAAACTTAAGGGCCTTATTAGAATATAAGCTTTGAGATTATAAAATCAATTTCAAAAAGGGATTTGTATTCTCTATTGAAAAATTGAGATTATATAATTTTAATATTATATAGATATAAAAAGAATATAGAATTAAAACTGAAAAGAAAGAATAAATTAGGAAATCCAAATTCTTTTATATATCCAATATATTATTGATATTCAAGAAAGATAATCCAAATGATCGATTTTGTAAAGATTATTATTTGATTAATGATAAAACAATTAGAGATATATATCCAATATTGAAAATCTAAGAATTTAAAGATAAATTGAATAAAGTTATGATTTATACAAAATTAGATTAAAGAAACATTTTCAATCTAATATAAATAAAAAAGGATTACAAATAGAAAACAATCTTTATATTATTATTGGATTTATAAGAATATATAATTATATCATTTAATCTAATCAATATATTAATTATATATCAGTGATAAAACAATAAAATATTCAAGAAGTTTAATTCATTTATAATCTGTTATCTGAATAATATTTTAATCTTTTTTCAGAAAGAAAAGGAATACAAAGGATATATATTGAAAGTATTCGAAATATTCAAAAGAGTAGATTCAAAACTCAAATTATCGAAATACAAATTTGGAATATGAAAAGTAATATTTCTGAGATATATTATTCAACTAAAACAAATGAATATAAATTCTAAAAAAACCAAAAAAGTAAGGAATTAGGAACGATTTAGGAATATCAAAGATATACAATTTATATTAAGATTTATCAACTTTTATCAAATATTTATAAAAGATTTCTCAAAAATAATGGAATTCTTTACCGAAATGATCAAAAAAAGAATAACTTTTATTTGAAATGAAAAATTAAAATAAACTTTCTAAGAAATCAAAGATAGATTTATTAAAGAATCTATCCTTTACAATTATTATAATAATTAAGAAAGTATTATCAAAACAAATATCTTTAATATCTATATAATAAGAATCCATTTATAAAAAGACAATAATAAGAAATTATATTTTATTATTTATCATTCAAACAAAATAAACAAAACAAAACAGAATTATAATATTTATAAAAAGGAATTTATAATTATTATAAAAATATTAAAATATTAAAGGATCTATTTTCAAAAAGTTAAATTCCCAATAATTATTTATACAGATTATATAAATCTTCAAACCTTTATTATTACTAAAATCTTGAATAATTATAAATTAATTAGATAAATTAAAGAATTAATAGGATTTGATTTAATAATAAAATATATTAAAAAAAAGGATAATATAAAAGTAGATATTTTGAATAAATTATTAAATTATAAAGATAATAAAATCTATTATAAAACAATAATCTTGAAATCCTTATCAAATAAAGATCTTATTTCTAATCTAATAGAAATTATTATTATAAAAAATAAACCAATAAAGATCTAAAAAGATAAATTTGTAAAAGTATAATAGAATAAAAAAAGTATCAAATGATCAGAATCATCAATAATTAATAATAAATTGTTTTGAATAAAAAACAAAATATAATTATTTAATAATATCGTTTTTGAATATATTATAAAACAATATATATTGTTAATTTATAGATATCAAAGAATATAAAAAATATATTTAAGAATCAAAAAGTAGTATTGGAATCCAGGATTTTGTAATATAATCAATAAAATAATCATCAAATATAATACCTATATTAAGAACAAAACTTCTTGTTATGTTTTTTATAAATAGATGAATATTACCGAAATACTATTTATATTATAGAAATTAATATTATAAGATTTTATAAATCTATTATTAAAATCCAAGGATTCAATAATAAAGATAATATACAATTATTTTTTTGTTATAATAGATAGATTAATGAAATATCTAATATTTATATTATATCAAATAATATTAATTATAAAAATATTAACTTTTATATTT